AAGAAGTGATGATATTAGAATCAACCTCAGAGATTACTGTGCAAATGAAATGAGAGGCTGCTTATACAGTGCATGAATTTGACATGTGGTAATGTTTAAAATATCTTAATGTCTTTTTGTTTTTCAAACTGGAGTTCATGGTTGAAGGATAGGAAGCCCCATGACATTTGCTTGGAAAAATCAATTTTACTCAAAGACTATTTTAAGACAAATATTTACATGTTAAACAGACAGAGAACTATTTGGAAAAGAGTGAAGAATTGTGTATGCTGTTAATATAAAACAGGAGATGGAAAGGATGCCTTCCACCTGAGATAAGGGCTTTGAGCTGCACCCCGAAGGCCCCGCTGAGCCACTGTTAGCCTCTGCTTTCAAGGAGTCAGGATGGGATCATTTCCCTTCGGTTTCAGTTCACCTCTGCCCCTCTTACAGAAAGAACTCTGGAGCCCACAGAGGAGGAAGGGCACATGTGGATTATTAATTGCAGAGCTGGGATGGTGTTCTCTGCCTCAGTTTCCCCACATGTGAAAAGGCCCCAAAGGCCATGCCTTGGGGAGAGAAGAGCCCTTGTGCCTCCCCCAGATTCCCCAGCTCAGAGAAATTACCCCAGGAACCATTTTCTGGTGTTAACTTGTTAAGCCTTCTCTAAGTGAGGATAGCAGCTGACTGGTGGACTCTGACATGACATGAGAGATAATTAGAAATGTCATCCTCCAAGGAACAACTTCCCCCCCCCCCGAGGAAGGGAAGAGACATGAATATTTCAGAGCACCTCTGGACTTATGCAAGGCCTCTTGCCCTCTGCGCTGTGCCAGACTCTGCCAGGCTTCCTCTCCACTTCCCTGCCTCCTCCTGATCCGCTCTATGCAAAATCCATTTTCTCTCCAACCTGAAAAGCTGCTTCGGAAACTGAGCATTCTGGGAAATATCAGTCAGGAATGCTGGTTCCATCTCAGCCTCAGTATGCTGTGTGTTCTTAGGAGAGTGCCATAACCTCTCTGGAGGCTCAGCTTTCCCATCTGTAGAAGGGCATTCCTGGGTTGTCTGTGTGAGCCTCTGGTAAGAAGAAATGCCAAAGGTGGCTACTGAGCAGCTGCTGGATAAACTCCTCTCCCAGCTGCCAGGCTGCTGAAGGCATAGAAAGAGCCCAGACCACAGACTTCAGGTCCAAGAAGCACCAGGACCAGATCTGCAGTCCTAGAAAACAAAGATAGGGAGATCGCTGCTCACTGCACTTCAACTGTTGGCAAACTTGGTGCCCCAAGTGGTTGGAGGCAGAGCCAAGTTAGTGTCTCAGGCTGTGTTCATGGAGGTATTATGTCCAGAATTGGGGAGGGAATAGGGAGTGATACTCAAAACCTGAAATCCTGCATTATTCAGTCCACAACTGAGACTGTGTGTCACACTCAGACAGGTGTCCAGACAGCTCAGGGACCCTCAAGGGGTAGTTGACCAGCTTATGGAAATCACATTCTGCAGAATGAGTCCAGAAGCCTGGTTTAGAGAGAGGGCAGATGATCACATCAGAGCTGCAGAAAGCAGAAAGAAGAGCAGACTGTAACTAGGAGCAGGTCTCAACTTGAAAGAGGACAGAGGTACACATAGCGAGAATGGTGTAACTGCAGTGGGCTGCCTGGCAGGCTGCCCTGCCCTGCCCTGCCAGTAGTGACACAGGCCTCTCTGCTCAGGATGAGCTTCCAATTTGGAGATTCCCAAATGAGAAGCATCACAGCTCTGTTCACAGAGCACCAGGCATCACCATTTACATAATCCAGTTGATATTATGATGTTGATGAGACAGCAGCTGGCTCTTAGCTGTTTCTGTCAATATATTCTTAATTTTCAGACCATCCCTATAAGGTAGGTACTATTAATATCTCCATTACAAATGTAGGGAAACTGAGGCGCAGGGCAGTCCCTTGCCCAAGGGCAGGCAGCTTCAGAAACCAGGCCCTCTACCACTTTGCTGCACCCCCCCTCCCTTGCCACAGTGGCCCTGAAAAGCAGCCCTGGAGACAGCACATTAAGTAGAGGCTCATTAAATGACAAGCTGGAGGGTCTCAAAGTCCATTCGGAGAAGGCGAAGGTGGTGGCACAGGTCCCACTCGTCCCCTTGATTTCATGTTGGAGTGGCTATGCCAAGGTGGTTCCTGGTAGGGTCATCTCTTCCCATCCTCAGTTGCAGCTTCTGTGACTCTGGACAGAGCTGACCAGGAGATGAGGTTCTGGAGTGCATAGGGACACAGGTGGCTGGGTAGTTGGGCAATTCCAGGGTTGGAGAAAAGATGGCAGACCACACTCCGGTTTGGACCCATCTATCCATGTATTCATTCAGGCTACATGTGTGTATTGAGTGCTGCCTCTGCCCTAGCTCAGGCAAGGACCCAGAGAGAGGGGAACAACATGTGTCACCCGGTGACACTCATGCCCTAAGATGGGTTCATTCCCAGCTCAGATGATTCTAGTTGGAGCCAGGAGAGGAAGCAGTGTCTGCTCACTGAGGTGACCAACACTGATCATCATTATACCATTTCCTGAGTCCACATGTGGCAAGGGCTGTGCCAGGGCCCAGATGTGGGGAGAGCGTGATGGGTTTTAGAGCTGCAAACTCTGGCTGGGTCCCTGCTCTACCAGAGCAGTTATTTGGCTTTGTCACCTCCAGTTTCTTCGTGGTGATGTGGCCGAGATTCTGTAGGCTAGTACTAAACACACAGCCTGAAGCCGGGCCTACTCACCCATTCATTCAGTAACGAAGGCCTGAGGGGGCGGACCTGATCCTGTCTCCAGGCAGCCGGGCACAGCGCCACATCACCTGTGTCAAGCAGAGAAGGAGCCAAGTACACGCGTCAAGCAAGTGTGTGCACTTAGCATTACGAGAGCGTGGGCTGGGGACCAGGGGCCTATGAAAAAGGCCTTAAGCTGGGCTCCCGTCTCTGTACCTGTATTTCCCAGGTCCTGGCAGTCACAACCCCTCAGTGGGCTTCAGTTTCTACAGTAGTTTGGGAAGGAGGGGAAGTCCCTGGTCTCCGAGCGGTCTTCCAACCTGGGTAGTTTGTGATTCTGTAGCCCCCAGGACTGAGGTGAGCTCCTGAGCATGGGGCAGGGCCCCATGAGTGACCAGTCAGGGCCCAGCCAGGCCTGGTCTCCATCCCCGCTTCTAGACTGAGAGACACCAAGGCCCACCCAGAGCCACTTTCTGTGCAGTGTGTTGTCTCCCTCACCAGGCAGGCCACTGAAAGGACTAGGTTTGAGGTTAACCTTGATCTTGGGGAAGAGGGAAAGAGGGCCTGCCCTGGAGAAACTGAGGCAAGCTTTTGCTAGGCTCTTCTGGGTTCCAGGATACCTGGCTGCAAACGCTAGCACCACTGAGGCTCAGTCACCTCATGTGTGACATGACGCAGGCTGGCCTTGCCCACCTCCCAGGAGTCTATAAGAAGGCAACCCTGATGGCGCTGCAGGAATGGAAGTGCTTGTATCTGCTAGGTTCCAGACTTTGGGACAAGTGCTCCGTGGTCATCACCTCATCCCACCTTCACACCAGCTCTGGGAGGAAAACACTGTCATCTCCATTTGACACACCAGAGAACAGTCTTGTGGCCCACAGCTGCACAGCCTGCGAGGACCTGGGCTGGGACTTAGATGAGTGATCCACAACTGAAACTTGCGTTCTTTCCCCTACCATTCTGCTCTAAATGAATGACAGGCGGTAATGTGCCAATTTCACATATGGGAAAACTGAGGCCCAGATCATCACACATGGGAAGACTGATGTCTAATTTTCCACCAGAAAGACCAAATGCTTGTGATGTTTCAGTGGCAGTCAGGGGAGAGTAACAATTTATTAATCCTAGAAAGTTCTATACAGCTCAGTGCCTGAATCCTATAGGCATCAAAAACCTCACCCAGACTCAGGGATGTTACCCATCCTGTTACTTAGCCCTAAAACTTTCCTTCTTGGCTCCAGGCTTGGCTGTGGGGGAGCCCTGGTTCATGACTATTGGTGACCATGCCACATGTGACACCATTCTGATTCACATGGCAAAGTAAAATGGCAGGGATGCATATTTTGGAGTCGAGACCAGGTTCCAAACCAGGATTAGAGTCAATGTGTACTATGCTTTTTAGCAGCAAAGGCTGCCAGCTGAGACGCTGCCTCTGCCTTCTGTAATTGAGGGAACTTTCATCATTTTCTCCCTTCTGGGCCTCTGTTTCTTCTGTGAAGTGGGGATGACCATATCTGCTCCCAGGGATCATGCAGGGATAGTCAGCCAAGCTAGATGAGGACTCAGTCCCGGCAGAGTCTGCCTGGCACATGATAAGGACTCAGGAAACAGTAGTTGGGCTTCATCATTGCCACTATTATTATTATTATTATCATTATTATTATTATTTGTGTCCCCTCCTGCCTTACAGTGCGGAAACAGGAAATTATAAAAGTGACAGAGCAGCTGATTGAAGCCATAAGCAATGGAGATTTTGAGTCCTACACGTGAGTCAGCTGGGCTCATTTTGCATGTCCTGCCTGGATGGTGTTGAGGGGGTGCCAATGGCTAACCTCAGGGTCCTTGTCGCTGACCATCACGCGCTCACTCTGCATGTGCTTCGAATGAGGCTGACCTCATGTTTCCGTTCTGCACTCGGACTTTGAGCTTATGTCGAGCTTTCTGCTCACACTTTTCTCCATCCAGTCCTCCCAGCCTGATCCCTGAAGGAACTGCAGCAGGATTCCTGCGCTTCCCCCTGGAAAGAGGGGTGGGCTGCACCTCAGCATGGGAAGGAGGGGAGGGAGGCAGACCCTTCCTCAGACCTGCCTAATGGGCCTGGGTCCTCACCTGGACTTCTTCAAGCCACTGACCTCAGCTGGGCAGGAGCGGGCAAGGGCCTAGAAAGTGTGTGGCTTTAATGAGCAGGAGTACCACAAAGCAGAACCTTAAATCCTCAGGGAGTTAGGCAGTGTGCACACAAATAACATAAAATTAAGCAGGTGTTCTGATACATATGTACCAGATACCTCTGACACATAGGTATGCATCCCATACATACCTGCGCCAGTTCTTGGTGGGAAGGCTGTGCACCTGAGCTGGGCTGCAGCGCCTCCTGGTGGTCCCTAATGCCTTTCCTGGTTTGGCCCCAGGGAGAGCAAATATTCTGGACTTAGACCATAGTGTTTCAGCCAGTCCTGACAAGGCCTGGGACTGATCACCACACATATGCTTTTTGATGGACAAAGGTTGCTGACTGAGGCAGAATGACCTTGGCCTGTTGGGGTAAGGTGGGATGGGAATAACCTGGCCAGAGAGGGGTGCTCTCTAAGCAGTTTTTCCCTGTTTTCCTTGTGCCAGGAGCTGCAGTAAGCCTCCCAAAGGCTTGACAGGTCAGGTGCATTCTACCTGTGGGAGAGTTTTGGCCATGGCAGGTGTCAAAGCCCTAGAGACTCACTGGTTTTCTCTGGAGGACGAAGGGGCTTGGAAGGTGCATGTGTGTCACTGAGGTTAGCATGTACTGCACTTATGTGTGTGCATCTACTTGCACATGTGTGTGCACAGCTGTGACTGTGTGCACAAGGAATGTGCACAGGTGTTTGTGCTGAGGTGTTGCATAAAAGCAAGAAGCAGGCAGTTAACACTAGTCTTGCAGCTAGCCCTAGAAAAATTGGGATTATTATACCAGTGGAAATGCACGGCCAAGGAGAGAGGGAAGATGAAGTGGGCCCTGTGGACAGACCCTGAATCCCCGGTGCCATTTCTGAGGGCCCTGGGGACCTACTTCCACCTGTATGATGTCACTTTATCTGGCATGTGCAGTCTGTTCTAGGCTCTGGCCTTTGCCATGAATTAAGGGGCCTGTGGTATCCTGGTGTCTAGACCTGGACACTCTGAATAATCCCCTATCATCTCACTGAGCCTCAGTTTCCCTACATGTACAATATGGTTGGAGCAAATGATCCCTGAGTCTCTTCACTCTCGGAGGCAGGTACACCCAGACACCCCCTTAATGGGGCTTCTGTGTGTGGGGGTGGGGAGGGGTGCTCCATCTTCCACTGTCAGCACTCCAACCCCACCTGGGAGGATTCTGGAGCTGGAGCACAGCTCTGAGCACAGCTCCCTACCTCTGACTTCATTCGCCTATAGAATTTGGGGTCTTGAGTGGAAAAGTGAGTTGTGTGGAGTCACCCTGCAAGGACTTTGTCCAGCTCAGACAACACTGTGCCTGACACCCTCTTCTGGTATCTCCAGTTCTACCCTGGATTGGGAATTTGGCCTGTCCAGGAGCATTTCCTATTCCTGGCTTCATTGCTATTGTCGCAGGGGTCTATATTGTGCTGCAAAAGACCCCTTAAATCTGGAGCTAGAGAGACAATTTGTCCCCTTCTCCTGCCGGGCTGTCATGGTCTCCCTTACAACTGCACACCTGACTGGGTGAGCAGAGGTGACTTTTATGTAAAGGAAAAAGCAGCTCCCACCCCATATCCAGGGAAGACAAATTAGAAATAGGTGCCTTTGGAACCACTACCTTAGCTGAAGTGCAATGTGGAGATCAGATAGCAGGCTGTGGTCATTCCTGCAGGCACCTATCCTGGTACTCTTACTTCAAGAGATTAAGCTGGGATCTCATAACCAGTAAGTGGCAGAGCCAGGACCTGATCCTAGGCTCCTGGACCTAAATGGCAACTAGTCAACACCACCCCATACTTGACAGTGCACAGCCTCTTTCCACCCACCAGCCTCTTCCATCCTGCAAGGCAGGTGCAGACTCACCCGCTAAGAGTACAGCGAGAAGCCACCCTAGCCCCCTCTTTCCTCTGGCTTCCTTCCCCCAGGAAGATGTGCGACCCTGGAATGACGGCTTTCGAACCCGAGGCCCTGGGGAACCTGGTCGAGGGCCTGGACTTCCATCGATTCTATTTTGAAAACCGTGAGCAATTCCTTCTCTCTGGGGTGCCTGTTGTCTGCTCTTGTTCCATGTCCTGCCGGATGGCACAGCAGGGTGATGGGCAGGGCCCCAGGGGCATCTCAGGAGCCAGTGAAGAGGAAGATCCTGTGTGGACAGGGGTTGGTACCCTCTTGGTTCCCTCTCCTAAACTTGGCCCACTGACTGCCAGCAGCCCCTCCTGTGACTGAGGATGGGACAAGGCAGGCAGATGGGTCTTCAGAAACCAGGGACATATTTGACAAGCTGTTCCTGCCCTTGACCTTGGGAGGGGTCTGGGGAAGACCTTTATCCCCACCCCCACTTTTTTTTTTTGAGACATAGGGTCTCTCTGTATAGCCCAGGCTGGTCTTGAACTCGCAATCCCTACTTCGGTCTCTCTAGTTCAGGGATTACAAATATGTGCCACCATGCCCAGTTTTTTTTTTTTTCTCTTTTTATAGACAAGGGAGCCTTCTCTTACGTGAGGAGTGGGGTCACACCCCAAGCTAGTAATTTGGATGTCTGGGGCCATCACAGATGCCCAGCTGGCTCCAGGGTTATTTCACAATATCCTCTGTAGATTGGCAGTTTGGGAAAAAGGGGAGGACAGCGAGCTCACACTGCTGTGCCCCTGCCTGTTTGTCTAGGTCTTTGTCCTGCATGTCTGTCCTTCCTGGGCCTCTCCTTGGCAGGAGAGATCTCAGCAGCTGCACCACCAGGGGCTGTCGGGGGCTGAGGCTGAGCCTGACATAAGGTGCCTTGTGCCTGTCTCATCCAGTCCAGGGATCAGGCAGGGACCAAGCAAAGGGCACATAGGTAGAATCCACTTAGGATGTAGAGGAAGGACCCGAGAGGTAGTACAGCCAGGGTCCCCCAAAACGAAGGGCAGGCTCTCCTGGAGCTTCATAGCATCATTGCAGGTGTATGTAGACACCACTTAAAACATCGGCTCATGCAGTGAGAAAGCTGTTCCTATTTAATTCTCTTTCAGTCCTCTGGCAACATCAAAGGGAAAGGCACAGTTGGGTGCCAGCCTATCTTTAACACCTCTCTGATGCTTCCTAATTTCTTCCTCTATCAAAGAGCAAGAGTCCCAGAATCAGATCCCTTGAAGTCAAGAACAGAGAGCAAGGATTACATAACTTCATTTTGTTTTCATCGGACTTACTAACTTTTTATTCTGTGATACTGATTGTCCACAGATGATTGTGCAAGACAGTTTTCTTTTAAAATAAGCATATAAATTAGTAGAGCGAATCAATGAGGAAAATATTTTCATGAAATATGCACAGGTGGCATTTGGATATGGTGAAAGTGTTAAGAGCGGTACTTCAGTGCCTGAAGATCTAGTTCAACTCTGTCATTTAGAAGGGGAAACTGAGGCCCAGAAAGAGGAAATGACTTGTCCAAAGGAAACCAGAAGGTTGGTGGTAGAACCTGGCCCTGACTTACTCCCAAGCGCCTTTCCTTGCCAGTGTGGCCCACTCTGTCTTCACAGTGGTAGCCTGGAGCTGGAACTGACACTCTCCTGGCCTGCACCTGCTGAATTTTATAAAGTGCAGAGACTCCAGGGCACCCTTCTTCTTTCTACTCACCACCCCCCGCCAAAAAAAAAGCTGTGAAGAAAGGAGCTACATGTTTGTCATGAATCGAACTCTGATTCTCTAAGGCTAGCAATGGATTTGGATTCTCATGTGAAGAGAGGTGGCTGGACCTCCTGGGTCTATCACTTGAAGCTCCCAAGGATCACTGTGGCTGCCATTGTACCTGTGTTCTCTGGGGGCACAGGGACAGAACACAGATAGGGGCCATGTAGTCCCTCATGCAGTGGCCCCCATCTTAGTACTGACCCTTGGACTCTAGAGTTGAACATCTGGTCCCCTCCAAGGCAGGATCCACAGAAGCAAGACCCTGACAGATTCCTCCCCTTCCACTCCCACCCTAGCTTCTAATCTGGTTAAAAGACATCACATTAAGGTGGAGCCCCTGGGGAATCCCAGCCCTTGCCAACAACGGCAAGTCCCATCCCTCAACAATGATACACTCTCTGTTCCTTCTGGAATTGTTCTAAATTGTTCACCAGGAGTCTGATTTCTTTTAGGCTACACTGCATTTCTTTCAGAAACTGGCATAGTTTGGGCCAAGCCACATGGCTACTCTGGACCTTAGTTTCCATATCTGCTAAATGGATGCATTCAAATAGATGGTCTTGTGTGCTGTATGTGATCAGGGATGTTTAAGGAAGCCTCCTTGCTTTTTGTAGAAGGGGCACTTGGTGCAAAGTCACTCCCAAGCCTGTGATGCTAAAGATGTACATTCTACATGTCTGAGAGCCCAGAATTCTAAGTCTGCTATTCTGTTTGTCTAAGAACTCATAATTTTGGTCTTTTACCCAAGGCCTGGGTATAGTGTGATTATCATATTAGGAAGTAGACGCTATTGGAGGCTTTCTGCGGCCCAGAAAAAAAAAATAAAGACATTTTATGTTTTTCAGAAAATAAGTGCCTTACAAATCTGGCTGGATATCAGAATCAGAGGCTGGGGACAAGGAAGGGAGATTTTTATTACAGTTCCTTCAACTGGGAAGTCTAAGGGTGGCGTTAGGGGCTGCATTTTAAGTCAGCTATCCACATGATTGGGACCTACAGTCAGGTAACTCTAAGGGACGGCACAAAGTTCCTGTTAAAGAGTGAGAACCTAATGTCTTCTGGCCAATCCTCCCCCCACCCCGGTCATTGTCTTCCTGTACTCTCATTTCTATCTTTATGAACAAGTTGAGTTTCTAGAACCAATATGATAATGATAGCAAAAATGGTGGGGTTCATCTTTCATGTAGTGGGAGCTGGTTTCAGGTACTTTGCTCAGTTCTATCATGATTATAAGATCTACACGTTTCCCTTTAACTCTGGAAAACTGCATGACCTCACTCCATGACTACCAATACAATCCTAAAAATCTCAAAGGTTATGCAATTCCAGAATTCCCCAAGTTTCTATAATCTGGTATGTCAACAGTAGCATTCGCAAATGGAGCCCCACCAGCCATGTCTGGACTGTAGAGGTTTCATGGGGTCTGTGTGCGAAATTTGAATGTTATTTCAATCATTTAAAAAGGAAGAATTTTCATATAAAAGCCCAGATTTCCAGATTCTTTTGAGAAACCAGGTGTGGTGACATGAGTCCCACTTATTCACATTGCAACCACTAGGGAGGCCGAGAGCAGGACAGGACAAGGGGTTCTATTTACCACAGTCCTTATCACTCCCTACTGTCTCTCTGACCCAGAGGCAAAGTGTCTGTCATTCAGCATCTTATACCTGGCTCAGCCCCCTTGTTTATATACCTGTCTGGCCCCTGTAGGGATCTGGGTTTGAGACAGATCAAGGTTATCTGGGTCTAGACAGGCACTCTACCACTTAAGCCACTCCACCCATCCCGGTCATCTGGATTTATAAACCTCTTGGCCCCATACCTCTGAATGGAGACTACAATATTAAGATTCCACTTTTCTGTGTTTGAAGAATTCAGTGTGTCTGAAATCCATTGGTATCTAAGCTAGGACGGGAGTTCCCCATTACCAAGCATCTCTGTCTTGACTCCCAGGTAGCTGAGCCCTGTCACAGTTTGCCCTGTTGCAAATGAGGCAGGCAGAGGGGCCTCCCTTGGGAGGGCTGTTAGGAGTTGACAGCAAAGGAAGCAAGGCAGGAGGCCCCCAGTTGCATCTCCTCTGCCCCTCCTGCCCCAACTCCAGTGTGGTCCCGGAACAGCAAGCCCGTGCACACCACCATCCTGAACCCCCACATCCACCTGATGGGCGATGAGTCAGCCTGCATAGCCTACATCCGCATCACGCAGTACCTGGACGCTGGCGGCATCCCCCGCACCGCCCAGTCAGAAGAGACCCGTGTCTGGCACCGTCGGGATGGCAAATGGCAGATCGTCCACTTCCACAGATCTGGGGCGCCCTCTGTCCTGCCCCAGTAAGAATCCTTTCTTCCTGCCTCCTCTACCCACTCGCCCAGGGGGAAATGAAGGGTGTTGGCCTGGAGAAGGGACACACTGGGGAACATGGATACTGCCACATGCTTCTGAAATACTACGGTGGGGATTGGGAAGATGCCAGGGAGGAGGCGCCATTCCTGTAGGTCCCAAGCAAACCTAGGTGGGAGTGCTATAAGGCAGTGTGGACCCCATCTAAGGTGGTGGGTGGGCTTCCCTGAGAGACATCACACTGACTACCACCTGCACTGTCTCTTACAGTTGAAGGACCCGGCTGGGGTCGCTGCGGTGTCATGTCGCAGAGATCCACTCTTTGTCCTTGGAAAGTGGCTGCTGATTCTCTCTCTTGGATTTTGCTGGAATTCTCCCCATCTCATCGATCGAACAGTTTACCTCTGTTCCTGCATCGAGAAAATCTGCTTGTTCACAAAAGCCATCCCGACTTCAAAGCAAATGGCCAGCTCTCCCCACCCCCACCCCTTACTCCTGCTCTCTTCCTGACAGGGCAGGGCTTCCTCAGGCCTGAATACCTGGGGTGCTGGCCCCAAGGACTTCCCCCCCACCACTTCCACCCACTGTTGTTGGCCTGGACTGGCCTTGGCTCCAGCTATGTGTTCACCAGGCTTGAGGAGGAGAGATGTGTAGTGGGGGTTCCTGTCATGGACCTCTCCTCTTCTGGGGTCCCCGAAGAAGTACAGGTGAACCTCCCCCCCATCCCCATGGCCAGCCTCCCTGTGGGAGAGTATGAAAGAAGGGCAGAACAGGAAGCCCTGCCTTCAACTGCTGCCCAGATCTCCTCCCCTCCTGGGCTGGCCTTCTGGGGGTCTGCTGACCCTTCCCAGTACAGGGAGTTCAACCCCTCACCTGCCCCACTTGCTGCCTCCTGCGAAGTCCACCTGCAACATTGACCTGCTCACCCACCCTCCATCATCTTTGGAGAATTCCAACTTCATCATGTCCGAGAGAGAACCTGATTGTGTTTCAGGGGCAAAAGAAAGCAACGTTTAGGAATTACTTCTATTTGGACCGCATGCCTTTTTCTAGCCAAACTTCTGTGTATTTCGTAAATGGATTTTGCGTTAAGGAATATTTATGTAATAACTAAGCCTTTCGAGTTATGTGAAGAGGGCTGGGTTGGGAAGGGGATAGAAAGAGGGGTGAGAGGTAGTTTTTATTCTGTTCTAGGCTTTTTTGGTTTCTTTTGGTCCTTTCTGAGGTGGACTTTGTCACCTGTGGTTATCTGAGGCTGAGGCGGACTTGGCCCCAGGAAGCATGGCCTCTCTGCCATTCTGGTCCTGAGGTGAGCCAGTGCAGGCCTCCCTTCCAAGTGCTAGGTGACTAAGAAACAGTGAGTCTAGGCAGGGAGAGGGCTGAGGCTATCAGGATGGAAACATCCGGGCTTGGCTTCGCTTCTCTCTCAAACTGGGGTCCTTACCACTGAACTTTCCAGGATTTCCTTCCTCCACATGTGTGTGGAGCCCCCAGTGCCCCCACCCACCCCTTGGTCTCTGAACATGGGTGAGCATGGGCCTTCATTGCCTCTCTCTACCCTTGGCATCTGATGGCCAAAGCAGAGCACTGGATACTTCTGCCTGCCTTCTAGTCTTCACGCCTCACCCTGAATCTGGAGTTTCTCTCTCTCTTCCTCTCTCTCTCTCTCTCTCTCTCTCTCTCTCTCTCTCGCTCCTTTCCTCTCTCCCTCCCTCTTGCCCAAAGCTGACTGGTGTGGAATGCCTTGGTACATCCACAGGATCTGCTGTCTGCACTGTTTCCTTTGCATGACTTTATATGCAGTAAGTATGTTGAAAAAAATGAAAAGAAGAAAAACACTCAGCAAAATCAATCTACATGTTTTGGATAAAAAAAAACAAAACACCCAATAGAGGTTGTATTCTCAGTGTCCGACTCGGAATTACATTGCTGCCTCTCTGTGCTTTTGGCCTCTGTGTGGCCGTGTTTTGCCAGCATGAGATACTGTCCCCTCTGGAGGATCTAGGGGAGGAAGAGCCACATCCCCTGTGTTAGGGTTTGGAGGACGCTGCAGTGCCCTCAGCCCTCCCGGGTGTTGGCTGGAGCAGAACTAGGGGGATGTTTAATCCTGAACTTTCTAGTTCTCCCCCATCATGAGTTGTCTGCTGGGCTCTTTTCTTAAGTCCTGCTGCACAGGGACAGGTGAGACAAGCTGGGCTGCAGGCCAGGAAAGGGGCTGCCCAGACCTCTCTTTTGCAAGCTGGCCCATCACTGGCCTCTGTCCCTGGAAGAGATCCTGCTGCCCTGTCCTAGAGGGTGTGCTCCTTGCCTGCCCCAGGGCCCAGAGGTCTTCTCAGTAAGGTTCAGTGATCTCATTTTCCCAGCAGCAAAACTACCTGTCCCTCTGTGAACTGCCGGTTCCCTATGGCCATCCCCAATCAAAGGTGAAGGAGAGGTGTGGCCTTCACCAGGGGATGCTACAATTACCAAGCAAGGTCTGGTTTTTTTCTTCAGCCTCAGTTTCCCCATCAGTTAAAAAGGATAAGTGTTCCTAACCCAGACTGATGGAGAATCAAATTGATGGTGACATGAGGCTCAGTATACCTGAGGGGAACTTACAGTGTTCGGCGTTGGCTGGCTTTCTATTTGCTTTAGGCCTGGCCAGCCCCCATCCTCGCCCATACCTGCCCCTCGTTCCCCTCTTTGGTGCCTGTCCATTGCTTATCAGCAGTGGACTGCAAGGAAAAGAGAAGTGGTTGGGGGGTTAATAGACTTCAATTCTTAGCTCTGACCAGACTTGCTGTGTGACCTTGGGTGAGTCCTTTCCTCTTCTGGGACCTTGGTTTCCCTACCAGAGGAAACAAGATAAGGAGGACCCCCAAATCTTGCCTTTCTTTGGCTGTCACACCTCTGTCCACTGTGTGCCTCTCCAAGTGCCAGAAAAGTGGAGGCAGAGCCCTACCCCAGGCTGTGATGGCCCTTACTGTAGAGGCCACCCCTGTGGGTGAGCAGTCACCGGATGTAGACCCTGAGGACCAGGGTGACCCTGAGGCAGCAGGCAGGAAACACTGCCCAGAGCCCACCAGACAAACTCTATGCTCCTCTCAAATGCCCTCTAGATGCAAAAAAAAAAAAAAAAAAAAAATCCAAATCCAAGTCAAAACCCAGGCTCTAGCATGCAAATATGTTTACAGGAAAGTACTCCACAGGGTTTGTGCCACCCTGGCTCGAATCCTGCTCCCGGGCCGCCTGTCTCCCTTCAAGGGAGACCCTATGGGGATGTGTTTGCCAGGCTCCCCATGCTGGTTTCTTTGTTAGTATTTGTTTGGGGTTTTGTTTCAATTCCTTCTTTTCTTTTTTTAAAAATATGTGGCTGTGAACTTGAATGACCACTGCTCAAACTTTCTGCTATTGGGGGGTGGGGAGGGAAGAAGGGGTGTCTGTTTTATTCTTGGTGTTTTCAGTGCAATAAATAGCTACAAACTTCTGTGCACTTCATGTGTCCCTGTCTTGGTCAAGGAGGGGCCCTGGAAAGTGTTCCCTGGTCCAGATCTCCCCTGCTGCAAAATAAAAGTTCCAGTCTTCATTCTGATTGAACCAGCTTGGGCCACATGTCAAGGCTGAGTCAGTCACTGGATTATGCCTGGGCCACATGCCCCATACTTAGAGCCAGGGATGAAGATGGCATACTCTCAGGCACTTAGGGTATCCTTAAGAAAGCAAGGAAGTGGATATGAGTTGCTATGAACAGCCAAGAGCCAAAGTCTCCTTGAGCAGTCTCTGGACAATGTTCATCTTCCGGGGAAGCTGAGGAAATCCTCACTCATTCTCTTCCCTCACCCCAACCTCACAGACAACCCCAGGCCTCAGAGTACCTGGAGGGTGGTTTGGAGAATGGGCTAAGGAGAAAAAAGTTCTCTTTACCTTCAAACATGCTTATGGGCCCAGCTTGGGGCAGGGGCCTTAGAGCTGGAGAGCAAAGACCATGAGAGGGCCCACTGGCTTCAGGAAAGTTTTCTGAGTCCAAGTAGCTTACCAGTGGCCAGGCAGAACCTGATGGTGATGTAGCGGGTTTGGCCTTTCTTGTCCATGATAGAGTGCTGACCATCCTGGATGCTGATACGAGATGTTTGATACTAAAACCAGGACAGTCTAGGCAAGTCAAATGAGTTGGTTACCTGGAAGGTAACACACACGCACAGGAAATTAATGTGAGTCAACTCCCTGTATAGTTATCCTTATCTCAACCAGAAAAACCCTTGGTCCTTCCTATTATTGCTTATACTTTCTCTACAACAGAATTAGAAATAAGGGCAAAATAGTTTCTGCTGGGTATTGAGGGGGTGGGGGGGAGGGTGAGGGGGCGGAGTGGGTGGTAAGGGAGGGGGTGGGGGCAGGGGGGAGAAATGACCCAAACATTGTATGCACATATGAATAATAAAACAATAAAAAACAAACAAACAACAACAAAAAAAAACAAATGATTTGGTTACCCTAAACTGTGCTCCTCCTTCCCCCAAGAGGCCTGGATTCCACAGGTCTGGGGGATGTGCTCACTGGAACCCAGTTCCCTTTAGATTATGTTCCAGGTGCCCAAGGCTGAGTCCCTGTACCAGCTGCCCTGACCCAGGGCAGTCTGTCTTCCCTGCTGGTATGTAGAGTGGCCAGGAATTGTGCCCTTTGCAGACCCACGCAGACCTTCACAGTGAGAGCACAGGCCAAGGCTGATAAGCGCAAGAGGGACCTGGGGGCTGTTGTTGCACTTTGTCCTGGAGCCCACAAACAGCATCAGGACTCTTCCCAGCTTTGCTTTCCCGGCCCCAGGCTCCTCCACCTGAAAGGCTTGAGGGCTTGGCCTGCCATTGCAAGTCTGCACCAGCAGGCGGCAGCACAGGAGTGGATTACAGGTGCTTCTTGGCTACTGCGTGTCTAACATGGTCTGGAGGGCTCAGTTGATCTCAAGAGAGAGCCTTTAATTCTCAAAAAGTACCAACTCCGCTTAAACTACTGTTACTACCTCACAGGAGCATGTTGCTCTATGTTCACAGTGTGCTTTCCCAACACCCCTTGCCCTAGTTACAGCAGCCCTGTTTAATTTGGGTTTTTTGTTTTTTTTTTTTTTGCAATACTGGGGACGGAACTCAGAGCCTCCTTCTGGTGCTCTACCACTTGAACCACGCCCTAGTTCTTTTGTTTTTAGTTTGTTTTTCAGGTACAGTCTAGAGCTTTTGCCCAAGCTCCATCTACCTATGCCTCCCAAGTAGCTGGGATTGCAAGTGTGCCCCACCACACCCGGCCCGTAACAGCCCTGGTTTGAAGATGAATACAAGGAAACTGAGGCAGACGACTTACCAGATCCTGCTGCCTTTGATCCCCCAGTCTCCTTCCAGTCTCCTCTCTCAACTGTCTCCACACACCAGGTTAGGTCCCCCTATGAGTTTTCACAACACCCTCTACCTACCCTACCTCTGTCCTGAACTCACCTAAGCAAGTATCCATAAAATTGTGTGGTCCTTGTAGGCAGGACAGCCCCTTGCCCAGTCTTTGCACAAAGCAAGTATTGCCATTCTTGCATGGAGTCCACCCTGCAAATGTGTGTTGCTAGAAAGAAGGACAGGACAGGAGTAGACCTGAGCATTCCACGTTCCCTGCAGCAACAATGGCTACCACTTCCTTCATTTGTGCTCCGTCCTCAGCACAGCCCTCTGCCGTGAGCACGATCAATTCCCTCATCCGCAAGTAGGGAGAATGTGCTCCCGAAGGGTGAAGGAAGACATCCAATGTGGCTCAGGACATGAGGGAGGAATTTGGACTCCAAGTCACAGCAAACACCTGCTTCCTGGGTCAAGCTGGAGCCAGGCTGGGCTCGGAGGAAGACTACGGGATGAGCTAGATCTCGTGTCCCCCAGAAAACCCTGGCACCATTTCAGCCAGCAAGAGCCATGCAGAGAAGTACTCGGGGCAGGCTGTGATGGGGCTGGATCTGGAGGTGCACAGTGTGTGGGAGCCTGGAGGAAGGGGACGAGGAGGGGGGCCCAGAGAGGCTTTGTGGAGGTGCTCGGCAAGATGAACTGTGTGAAAGCAAAGGTTGGGACCCCAGAATGGGGAGAGAGGAAGAAGAATAAGCTTAGGAAGGGGTTGTGGGAGCCAGAAGTGTCAGACACCTGAGGGAGTCCTGAGTCTGCCGTGACATGATTCTGACTTTTCCAGGATATGGGTGGGCCCCAGCAGTGGAAAAGGCTGTAAATCCTTGGGGAAACAGCAGGTGCTGGGAGTGTTAGCACAGGGCGAGGTGGAGCAGGTCCTGTCCAAATGAGCCCCACTCCTTGTCCTTCCTCCCAGGACCAGCCCACTGTCCCTTCTCCACCTGGCCTGCCTAGGTCTCAGAAGCCACTTCTCTCAGTGGAGCCTGACCCAGACATCCCTTCCCAGGCCCAGGTGGACGGAGATAGAGAAAAAGGGGTAATTATCACCATTTTCTCTTCCTATGACGTTGGGTGAGTCACAGCCCATCTCTGGACCTTTGTTTCCTCATTAGAGCAATGACATTGAACTTGTGGTCCTCAGATGTGGAACCAGGACAGACTCAACCCAGGGAATTTGTCTGACATAAAAATATTTCAAGCCCCACCCAAGAGATTAAGACACTTGAGGCTGGGCAGGGGTCCAGGCAGCTTTAGTTTTACAAGCACCCATGTTAGCTGTCTGCACTGAGCACCCCTCACCCAATTGCACTGGGAGACCAAGATGAAGTTAGGGGAAGCCCCACCCCAGGCTCCCCACTTCCCTGTCCTTCTCCCCTGACTCAGCTAAATCAATATTGACCATAGGCCCCTCCTTTGCCTCTAATTCCTACCACCCCAAACCCTGAGGCTCCTTAAGACCCTGACTACAATCAGCAGAGTGAAGGCCAAAGTAAGGCCTTTCTTGCTGTGCCCACTCCCAGCCTGCATCCCACCACTCCTACTGGTTTGACAGGGGCATCTCTGCTTACTGGAGAAACCATCAGGGCTTCTGACCGTTAAGCATGTCCTGCAAGAGGGATAAAACTTCCTTTTCACCAGGGAGAGCCAATTCCCAAATCCATCTCTGAGAAGGGGCCCGTTTCCCTCCCCAGGTCCCTCGGCATGGTTCCCACAGAAGACTGTTAGGGGCCAGTGGAGGCAGCAAGTCTGCCATGCTCACCTCTCATCCTCAAGGCAGCTTTGTGGAGGCAATGGTTCCTGCTCAAACCATTCATTTTACAGATGGAGACACTGAGGTTCAGCCTCTGAAAAGTGTTGCCACAGTGCTGGCAAGTCCTGGACCTCATCTTGGTTTGTCTCAGGCTCTAGGCATGCCAGTCCCTACTTCCTTCTCCCTGTGCTAACTAGAAGTGGGAGCTGAGCCTTAGTTTTCTCACCTGTACAAGGGAGAGCTGGCTAATGACAACCATTTTACCTAGAGAGTTACTATATGCTTGGCTTGGGTTTAAGCACTTTGATCATTTTTTAAGACTTGCAATGAGCACCTAATATTATCTTATTTAAGCCCTTGCAAGGGTAAACTATTCTTCTCATTTTAGTTGGAAGAGGTTGGGTTCAGAGATGTGAAGTAGCAGATTCAGACAAGTTGTGGAGCCACTATCTGGCTCTGATCAGTGGATGTCCAAGTCTTCCTTGGCACCTACTCTTGACAGTTCTCTAGGGTTACAGATCACAGATGCTGTGGACGTTAGCAGGAAAAGGGCTTTTTTCTTTCAAAAAAAAGGTGATCCTGGGGTGCCGGTGCTGGGAGGAGGCCGCCCTGTGGCCAGAGAGGTCTTGCTGCTACTCCATCCCCAGGTGGGGGTGGGGGCTTAGTGGAGGAGGGAAGGCCAGGGCAGCAGGAAGTCAGGCAGAGATAGAGCCAGGGGTGCTGGCCAAAGACCTACTGTGGGCATGCATCCCTGAATGCCCTTCCAGGGCAGGATCAGCGTCAGCAAGGACTCAGGCCCCGGAGGGAGTGTCCGGGAGCTCAAGGAACCAAACTTTCCATGAGCCACCAGCAAAAAATGAGTCCAGAGGAAAGCAGCACCACAGACCCCCTAGGTTATGAAACCACGATCACATGGGATTCTGAAGGGCTGTGATTCTCTTAACTCTTTACTGGTTGTCCCCAGAGCTACCAGAGAACTGTACAGTTTTATACTCCATTGTGCACAGATGTAAGAGATGAAGGAAATCCAGGCTCTGTACTTGAGAAGTTGGGTGGGGAGGGGCCAGAGGCCACAGACACAAATGGATCCCTTCACTCAACAGACATGTATCATGTAACACCAAGACCCACACCTGTGCTGAGGGGGCCCCACCCCCCACCCCCAGCAACCCAACCCTGTGTGAGGCAGCTACAGAGCGATTGTCATCACTCACATTTTATAGGAAAAGAGCCTGAACTTAGAGAGATGAAGAGACTTCCCATGAACACAGACCTGGGTCCTATGGCCTGAGCCCTGTTGTGCTACAAAGGGGTCTTGGGTCCACAGAGTGTGTGATACAAGGGTCTTAGCCACACAAATAAAAGGGATGTGAGTCCTAGGGGCGGGCAGGCCAGGCTGGGCTGTCCAACCTCTCCAGATGTTGGGCTGAGTCAGACCCCCAAGGATTCCAGGAGTCTACATCTGGTTGGGAACTCAGGAAGGCTTATGGAGGAGGATGTATTTAGGAGGAACGGCTGGGAAGCTGTTGGATGGGGTGGGGAGGGTGGGGTTAAGGACTGCCTAAGCAAAGGGTGGGAGGCTGGACAGCCTGAGTCTGCTCAGGGTACAGAGTGAAGATGAACTTGCTGGGGTAGGAGAGGGGCGCACAGGAGGCAGACAGGGCCTACTGAGGACCAAACACTAAGATAACCAGTGTGACTCCTGTGGTTGTTGACCCTCACTTGACCTTAGGAATATGGCTGTCCCTTTTTCTTCCCCTCCATCTTGGCTCTCAGTGATCACAGCTAGAAGGGACTGCAGATGGTTCTGTGCCCATCTCAGTATTTTCTGGAACCCATAGGAACACTTGCTCTGTGAAGTCCTGGAATAGGAGTGCAGGGCCCCAGAGCGTCCTCTACCATACCCTAGGCAGACATATGTGCTGCCTCCCACTGCTCCCTGCCAGCCTCCTAAGTTCAGGGTTGCATAGCAATGGAGATTAGCTGAGACAAGCAGGTGACCAAGCGGTACTGGAGGCCTGGCCTCCACTTCAGCACATTGCCACGGTGGGACTCTGGGTAAGATCTCACCTCTGGGCTGCTTATCGTTAAGTCTGCAGAGCAGTCAGGATACTCTGATAGAGCCTGCTGCTTGACATCTTTTGAAACAGTTGCCCACATACCAAATTGGAAAATGTCTTTTTTTTTTTTTTTCTTTTGGTGGTACTGGGGTTTGACCTCAGGACTTTGCATTTGCTAGGCAAGTGCTTTACCATTTAGTGAGTCCTTTTGCTTTTCAGTTTATTTTTGAGATAGGGTTCTCATGCTTTTGCCCAGGCCAGAGATCTTCCTACTTCTGCATCCTGAGTAGCTGAGATTACAGGCTTGTACCACCACTCAAATTGAGAAATTTCCCACAAAAATCCAAACTTCCATTAAAGCCAGGAGACCTGGCAACCAAGGCCACCCTCCTGAGAGGCAGATTCACCCTTAAGATAAGCATTTTCTTCTCCAGCTCCCTCAGCCCCCACCACACCCTGTCTCTCCAATACCCACTAAGTGTCACTTGCCAGTCATTCTCCCTCACACACCCGCAGCTTTGCTCTCTCGGGCTCCCTGACTGGCCCTGTGGGCCTGGGGTGGCAACTGTTGGTAACATTTAGGATTCCAGGCTGTGTCCTATTAGACACAGGGCTGATGTTCCCTTTGAGTTGCCTGTTGTGCTGTCATAATATCCTCCAGCTGGGCCTCTCTGGTTCCCATCAACTCCCACCATGATCAGGGTCAGCTGTAAGCAGGAAGACTTGAAATCAGTAAAGGTTAGTGATTAGGAGATATTGCAAGGCAGTAGAGGGAGAAGAGTGGTCCAGCAGGAAGGGGTGTCCAGGAGCACAAAAATGGAAAAAGCAGAACACACTGAGGACTGGGCCAGGGTAGGCAGTATAAAAACTGTGGGCCTAGGGGGCCCAGGGGCTGGGGTAGACAAGGCAGACAGGGGAGGCAGAGGAATCCAGGGGTAGTTAGGGACAAGGCAGGTAAGATGAGGTGGAGATGTGAAGCTGGTGGGATCCCTTGCCTCCTAAGTCCTCCAATCTCACACCTGTAATCTGTGGGGCCTGGGTCTTACTTCCAAGACACCCAGCTGCAGCCACATCTGGGTGAGGAATGTCCCCAAGACCATGACCACTGATAGAACAGCACCCTTTCCTTTTGTGCGCTGAAAGAAGGCACAAGCCTTCTCTGGTGTGAAAAGACATGCCTGCTTTGGAAAGGTTATCTTTGCATCCTCTGCAAATTAGTAAGTCATCCCTTTCCCCCACCTGGAGCCTGGAACAAAGGGGTGAGAGGGGCCTGGCCCTTTATTCCGGGAAGCTTATTAATACCCAATAGCAGCCACCTTCCTTCCACCCCAAACAAAGCCTTGCAACACACTGGGTCTCCAGTTGAAAGGACTGGGGGCTCTTTCATATGACCAGGTCCTGCCAGGAGGGGGTGGGAGCACCAGGAGGTTCTTCCCATTGGAAACCAAAGGCTCCTCCCAAGCTTGGTCTTCCAGCTCCAGCCCTTACCTGCAGGGAAGGCCAAGAGGGAGATGTTGAGGGAAAGAAGGCAGCTGGCAGGGAAAGGAGAACAATGCCCAGCCCTGATCTGCTGCCCTCCCCACCTTGTGCAAGTCTGTGGGCCTTGGTTTGTCCGCATGCATAGTGAGGATCTTGTAGCCTCTAAGGCCTAGAGTTCATTGTCTTTTTCACTCCTCTCCCCCACTGCTATAGAGAAGTGGCAGAGCAAGTGTCAGAAGCCAGGAAAGTGGGAAAAGAGATAGGTGAGCCTCAACCTCCTCCTCTATCAGGTAGGACCTGGAGAGACAAGCCCTGGGTTGCCCACCTCATGGCAGCAGTAAAGAGACTGGAGGACCTCATTTGGTGTTTATTAACAATCAACCAGCAGAACATAGATGGGCTGGGGAGACTGGGAGAGAGACCGGGCCTGGAGGTTGGCCACAGCTACACAAGGAGACCCTGCTGCACTGGGGAAAGCTGTGTGCAAGAGACTATTATCTCCCAGGGACCCAAGGCACCCAGAGCTGCCCTCTGCTCTCTGCCTTCGCCCTCATGCTGGTTCTTTGGACCCACACCCAGGAGCAGGGTGAGTGGTATCAGGACCCAGTGTGGACCATCTCTGAGTCTCTTGATTTCCTTTGTCATTCACAGCCCAAGGGCCACTTTCCAGCAGCGTGGGGGAGCTGGAGGAGACAGTGAGAAGGGAAGAGAGGGGCCCTAGATCCTGACTACGACTCCTATTCCCACCTGCTGCTCTGGCCTCCCTACCACCCCAGCCACAGGGTCTACCAGGTGAAGGTGTGGTCTTCTCTAAAGGCTGGTCCTCCTTTCTTCCCCCCTCCCACCCCAATGCCTCACTCAGGCCACCAGCACCTCTTGCCTGCCCTCCACAGGTCTCTCTGATTCTTAATCCACCCTGCATAGACCCAAAGTGATATTCCTTATCATGCAAATCCCCTCCCACCCTGCCTTCCTGGCTGCCCCCTCCCTCTATTCTTCATTCCCACTGAACCCTCTTGTCACCTGCCAACATCAACATCTCCAAGCACTCTTGATTGTGTCCCAGCAGGTCAGCCTCCTCCTGGCCCCTTGGGCTCTCTGGCCTTCCCTCTTCTCTACTCTCTGTGAACCTTCCCTCTTCCAGGCCTCGGCTCCCAGCTATTTTGGGAAACCTGGCCTGCATACATGGATCCACAGGGATCTTTCTCCCCACTTAATTTACTGACCCTTGACACCCACCCAGGGCCTTGGGAAACCCCAGAGCCTCTTACTGCCCTGGACTCCAGGTTCAAGTTCAGGTTGTATGGAAGAGTACAAAGACAGCTCCCCCCAGAAAAGGAAGAGTCTGGGCCCTGCACAGAGATGTCAATGTGGTACCTGCTGCCTCAAGGGAAAGAGAGCTGGCTGGCTAGAGGCCTGGGGTCAAGTCCTCTCTGCCATGTGACCTTGGGCCAGTTTCTCCCTCCCTGACCTCAATATGTCCATCTGCAAAGTGAGGACTGAGTTGGATCATTGTCAGCTTTGAATGGGCTGTGTGTGTGTGTGTGTGTGTGTGTGTGTGTGTGTGTGTGTGTGTGCTTAGAAGGTTAAACAGAGGTTTCAGGAGAGGCAGAGGCCACAAAGAGGGACTCACATGGGGGGATCAGCATCATTGTGGCAATCTCCCACAGTCGTTTGGAATCCCAGCAGGCTTGGCCGCCCCTTGCAGGCCCCATGAAGGGCCTGTGAGGCCCTGGTAGGGCCTCTGTCCGCCCGCCTCACATCATGGACTCCTCCTCCTCAGCATCTCACGGTCCACCTCGATGGCTGTGTTCTCAAAGCTGGTGATACCCCCATACTTGCGCATGTGTACCATCAGCGGCTTTGGTGACTGGCTCCCAGCCAGTGTGGCCACATACATGCCCGTTCGGTTCTCCTCCAGCGACGGGCCCCAGTCCATGGCTGGCCGGCTGGCCTGCTGGAGCCGCTGCAGCAGAACAATGGTTGTTGAGTGCTATCCATGGTCAGGCACCCAGCAAACACCTGACCAGATCACCTGCCTGAGAGCTTACAGCAATCCAGGGTGGGGTAGGGAGGCACAACTACTTCCCAAGGGAGTGACTCCCATGTCTGGATGGGAATCTGCTCTGCTACTTTCAAGCTGGGTGGCATCTGGGAACCACCTGTAACTTGGGAACCGTGAACCCCTCATGGGTGCCAAGAACAGGGCAGGCCTGGTAAAAGGTGGCTGTCATGATCACGAGGCAGGGACCACCTCTGAGCATCCAAAGGTGGATCCAGGAGCCTACTCTGTGTCCCTTCCCGGACACCAGCCCAGCTTTGGAGCCCCAGTTTCTGGGAGGGAGCTGACTAACTGATGAGTCAGCTTGCACAGTCCAGAGTTGCTTCTTCCTCAAATTTGTTCCAGGGCCCCTGACTCCCCTGCCAGGTAGAAAAGCCCTGTGCCCTGGAAAAAAGGAGGCATCCTCTAGTCAGCGAAATTCATTAAGTGCAGGTTCCAAGGGAGATAACACATGCACTGCCCTTGGGCTAGGGTTGAGCACACTGACTTAGGCCTCACAGCATGGCAATGCTTATTTAAATATGTTAAAAGCCCCTAACCCTATTACTCAGAAACCTGCCGATGGCTCCTCCTCTCCCTTGGAATGTTCACTGTGGTTCCTGTGACCCACAATCCACCTCCTTGATCTTGGCACTGGTCACTCTCCCTCTGCTTCAGAGACACAGGCCTTTTTGCTACCTTCAAACATGACATCCCCTCCTGCCCTGGGGCCTTTGCACCTCTTGCCATTCTGTTTGGAATTCTCTCCCACCAGACATCATTATGGCTCATGGTGTCCATTTTTCCAGCTCTCTTTGACTGCCCTGGCCAAAATACCATCCTCCATCACTCGCTAGTCCTATACTCTGCTTTCTGCTTGTATGTGTTTTGTTTTTTAAAGTACATCATTTACCACTATTGTCTCCTGCATTAAATACAAGCATCCTGAGAGGAAGGATTTAGAAGTGTCCAGCTGAATACTGGTACTCAAACCAAAATTTTTTCAGTGCAAGAACTAACTACTGACACTTTGGTCTGGATAATTTGATTAGCAGCATACCTGGCCTCTACCCACAAGATGACAAGAGCACTCCCCATCCCTTCTATGACGTCTCCAGACATGTCAAATGCCCCTCAGGGAAAATCACTCTCTGGGGATCCTCTTTTGAGCACTTAGCATGTTCCAGTTCTGGGCTAGGACTTGGCTCACTTATTCTCATTTTATCCTGATGAGAGGGGAACTTCCCCCCATTCTGCCACTCCCATAGATATTATCTGAAAGTTAAAGCTCAAAGAGGTTACTCAAGTTGGCCATTATCACACAGGTGGGAAGTGGTGGTACTAGGATTTGAACTTGAGCAGTCTGACTCCATCCTGAACTTTTCAAATACTTTGCTTTTCTGCACCCACATGCTAGTTATGTTGGTAAGCTCCTTTTCTTCTCACAGCAATCTTGTGGGTAGGGATCACTGTCCTTATTTTAAAGATGGAAAAACTGAGGCTCATTCATGCTTCTGGCAAATGGCAGAACCAAGATTCTGATCCAATGGGCCAGTGTTGAAAATCCTGGTCTCTGAAGGGCACTTGTTGGTCAAGCAACAACTCCTCGGCCGTGCTGACATTCCCTGGCCCCAGCGTGCTGCCCCTCTATCTGGCTGGGGGCTCCCGCAAGCAGGGTGGGAGCAGGGCTGAGAGGCTGAGAGTCCGTGTTTGCAGCAGTTCTGTGGTAAGGCTGGAGGACCCTTAGCTTCTTCTCCTGAGTCCCTCTCTGTTCTGACTTCCCTCTGCAGACACCTGGCTCTCAAGCAAGACAGGCAGCATCCTCAGCAGCACAGGTGGCCTCCCAAGGCTCAGAGAAGGGCTTTGCCAAACCAAGTCACACAGAGGCTGAAGGCAAAGCAATAGTTGGACTCTAGGTGCCTGGTGGCCTGGGCCACAATTGACTTCTGCAGTTGTTGGGCACAAGAGCACCAAGCCTTTCTCCAAGTGGAGACATAGAAGGGAGAGAGGGCAGCTATGTGGGGTAAGCATGGGGCAGTGGTGTGGTGGTGAGCGGGCCATGAGAAGGGGGCAGGAGAGGCCTGCTTTGTTGCCAATTTCAGTGGTGAAACCCTACCACCATTGCCCATTTCAAGCCATCAGTGACTCAACAACCAGCTTACAACCCTCCTGACTATTGAACAATTGGCTTTTCATGAACCAGGCTGACTGGCTCCAGTATCCTCAGATGGGTGTGTGAGTTGTGGGGAGGGTCCCTGGGCTCTCTCAGGGCTCTTCAAGCTCCATTCTCAATGACAGCTTTAGCCACAAAAGAATTCCACATCCACTGCTTTCAAAATGAAAGCTGAGTGTACAGAGAGAGCCCTGTGGCCCAGGGAGCAGCAGGAGCTTGTTATGGTCACATCACATGTTTGCTGGCCCACAAAGGGTCACTACTCCCCTCCTTTGAGGCCTGCTGACTCCTGTGTCAAATGGCATGTACCCTCTTACACCATCATTCTATCCAAGGTCACACGCAAGATACAGAAGGGCTCCTGGGCACAGAAGAAGGGTGACAGTACACTGAGGTCCCTCAGTATCTGATTCTGGGCTCCAGAGGGAAGCTCTACCCTAGTGATTCAAGTTTAAGTCCCGATCCCCACCCCACCCAACCCTGGCACCTTGGGCTGGTTCCTATTGTCAGTGTCTACTGACACTGTGTCTGCTCCCTCACCAAGGTCCCCTGTGCTGTGAGGTGCCATGGGCAGGACCCCAGTGCCCTGAGTCTGCCTAGCCTATGCAGGCCTTAAGCTATTGGAAGCCTGCAACACCCTGGAGAAGGTATGCCATGGGCAGGAGTCTTCTGCCCAGGACATTCCATGGGCCCAGAAGGCTGGAGGTGGGCAGGGTGGGGCAGACTCACCTCCCAGAGAGAGCCCTCCTCTCGCAGCACAGCCAGCAGCATGCCAGCTGGGATCATGAGGCAGGACAGCAGACCCATCAGGATGCCCAGAAGCTCGGCCCAGGCGGGGAAGCGGTAGTTGCCATATTCTGAGGGCTGGTACTTGACGATGCTGTACACCAGCAGGGCCTGCAGGGTGGTGACTTCAGAGTCACAGGGCGGGTGAGGCCCAGGGCCTGGGATAGCCTGGGTCTGAGTTGCCTTAAGGCCTGAGAGAACTCAGTGTCCTAAACTATATGAGAGCCTGAGATGATCCATCTATGGAGTCTTTGAAAGCCTGAGCTAGCCCAGCTCCTAGTTGACCCAACACAAATGCCTGTGACCGCTCAGCTGTGAAGCACCCTAATTCCCACGGTGGCCTGTCTCTGAGCTACTCCCATCACAAGACTGAGAAAACACAGCAACAAGGCCCCAGCCCTGAGGCCTGGGAAAGTCATGCTATTTTGCCAACCAAGTGTAGAGAGATGCCTGGCACAGCTGCAAAAGCTGGGGCCACGGCCAGGTGTGGCAAGTCACAGCTATAATCCCAGCTACTCAGGAGGATCACAGTTCGAGGTCAGCCTAGGTAAAAAGTTAGTGAAGCCCAATCTCAGGCAGGTATGGCAGCATGCACCTGTCATCCCACCTATGGAGAGACATAAATAGGGGGACTGGGGTTCAGGCCAGCCCAGGGAAAAACTCAAGATCCTATCCAAAAAACAACTAAAAGCAAAAAGGGCTAGAGGTGTGGCTCAAGTGATAGAGCATCTGCCTAGCAGGCACAAGGTCCTGAGTTCAAACCCCAGTTTAAAAAAAAGCTGGGGTCTTCAGGAGAACTCTGTGGGCTAGGTACCTCATGCCCACCCTGCAGCTCTGACAGAGGCACCATTCTGGGCCAAGGCAGCCCAATAAACTACATGGACAGCCTGGAACCCCAGAAACCTACCCTCTTGACCCTCTCCTTCCCCTTCCCCAGATCCCCACGCCCATTACCAGGAGCGTGGCTGGGGACAGGAACAGCCAGCAGGCTCTGAAGTAGAGGCCCGGCTTAAAGCCCAGCATCATGTGGATATCCCGGCAGAACCTCTGGATGCCTGCATGGGGAGGGGAGGAGAAATAGCCCCGCCCACAGGCTCCGTAAGTGCCCAAACTCCTCCACACCCCCGCCGCCCCCCACCTGGAGCCCTGGCCCTCAGGCCAGTCACCCAGCTGCAGGTGCTTCAGGAAGACCCCACCGTCCTGTTCCACAGAGCCTCGGCTCTACCTCCCATGGGCCTTCTCACCATACACCCGGGTGACAGCGAGGCACGTGGTGATCACTACCACCATGAGTCCAAAGCTGGCGCTGTAGTCGTCCAGAAGGACCAGCCAGTACATGCCCCCCTGTAACACAAGGCACAGGTGTGGGTCCCACCAGTGTCACTCTCTGCTGTAGCCCCTTGTCCTAGCAGGGTGTGTGTGAACAAGGCACACACATGGGGTGGTACTGTCTACATGCTCAGCCCCATAGAAGCATCATCCCTTCAGCCTCCCAGCCGTCCTAGGTGCTGGAACCCCTGTTCACCTATGAGCAAAGACAGGCTCAGGGAGGGGAAGTCACCTGTCTGAGGCTACTCAGCAAGTTCAGATCTTTCACACTAATACTCCAAAGCCAGGATTCGATCATAAGGCCAAGCTGCCTCCCTTGGGAGACAGGGTCTGGGTGGGGCAGGCTCCTCACAAAGAGGAAGACATAGGAGGCTCAGTGATGCTCAGCCAGCCAGTGACATTGCTGTAGGTGCAGTCCCTGCCCACCCAGCCTGGTGTCCTCCTGCAGACAACTCACATCAGTTGTGAGGATCAGCCCCATCAGGTACATGGCCACGCAGATGAGGCCCGAGAACACGGCCTTCTTGGGTCGCAGGTAGTATGGGAACTCATCTGTCACTGCTGTCACGATGGTCTCCAGAAAGGCAAACTGTGTCGAGAAGTAGTGGGCTGGGATCAGAGTTCAAAACTCCCCCTGCCCCACTCCCATCAACAAGGCTTACCTGGCTGTCCAAACCAAGAGTCAGAAGCATGAAGAAGAAGAGGAAGGACCAGAAGGGCGACAGAGGCAGCATGGTCATAGCCTGTGGGTAGACCACAAAGGCCAGGCCAGGGCCTGGGCCAAGGGCACACAGGGTCAGCAGCTTGGGGCATCTGGCGGGCCCCATATAAACACTCAAAGACACACAATCGCTTCCACCCAGTTGGGCACACTCCTTTAGCCAAACTCAGAGACATATACTAAAGATACACTTCTAATGGGTTCTTAACTCCTGGGACTTAGACCAGCACACTATGGGTGCTCAATAAATATAAGTTGATAGAATAAATGACTTAACAATGGGTGCACGCATGAACACATGATCCAAATATAAAATGTTATCAGAGCAGTTCTAGACACAATCATTTGCACAAAGAATTCCACTAGCACACATACTTACACACATCCATTGGCACAAGACACACTGATTCACAAGATCATTGTCACCCTTGATTCACTTGCACAGAGACATCTCAACCAGGATGTGACTCCTTTGGACAAACAAGGCATGAAAGGTAAGACAACCTCATACAGCGACTCATTTGTTTTCTGAGCAAATGAGATACAGAGATATCATGAGATACAGATTGCTACATTCTCCTTTGCACACCCATGCCTTTGCACATGGACACGCAGAGACCAAGACCTATTCATCTGCATGCACATGCACACATACACACGACATAACCATTCACAGTCTTGCTATTCCACGTGTTTATTCCCTGGCCTAGTCCCATGTGTCTGACACCCACTCTCACCCGACGAAACCCTGGCAGCCTGCCCACCTGCTTTGGCTACTTGGTCCACAGGCACACCCAGCTCCTGAGACATGTAGCCCAGCACGGAGAAGATGGCGAAACCAGCCAGGATGCTGGTGATGGCATTGCCCAGAGTGACGATGAAGGTGTCTCTGCCAAGACAGTCCCGGCACAGACCAGAGTGAGCCGGCCACGCCCTCAACCCACAAGGCCTCCCTGGCGAGCCACTCTCCTCTTGCTTTGGTCTCAGGCTGTGGTAAACTGCAGCCACTGACCTGTAGATGTTCTGGTGAAATGTGTTGTAGGAGGCAAAGGTGAGGAGACCCCCAAAGCCCACACCCAGAGAATAGAAGATCTGAAGAGCAGCTTCGATCCACACCTGCACCAGGGAAAGAGGGAGAAAGAGGGCAGACAGGAGGGGCAGGCACATAGAGGACCAGGGAAGAGCAGCTAGGAGGCAGGCTAGGCTGGGTCCAGACATGGTGTGGAGAAGAGCCAGGCTCATCAACGTGGGCCAGGAGTACAGCCAGCCCCAGCAGTCACACTGCAGGATGTGGGCAAGTCCCTCCCCATCCCGATCTGAGTTTCCCACTCAGGGTCTGGCGGATGTCTCTAAGCGTGGTTCAGTCCTGAAGACAGTAGCACCTAGTGTAAATTTTACAGTAAATTCATGTTGACAATAAGCTCATGTAGCCCCTCTACCTCCTCCTGGAGTCAGAGGGACCTGAATTGGAATCCCATCTTTAGTGCTGTCTAGCTGTACAGCCTGGGCAAGTCACAGCACCTCTCTGGACTGCAGGCCCCTCATCTGTAATGAAGGAAGGGGGACAGCATGTACCTCATAGGGAGGGGCACGTAGCATCACTACGACATGCTAGTGAAGGGACAGGCACAGTCACTGGGCAATAAATGATAAATGTCAGCTGTCAGTTCCATGTTGTTATCATCACCATTATTAGTGCTGTCCTTGGAGTCAGAATCCTAGTTCTGCCACCCTTAGCTGTGGGACCTTAAGCTTATCACTAATCCTGTGGACCTCAGTTATTTATCTGTAAAATGGGAGGAATGTCTACTTCACAAGATTTTAAAGAATAATAAATGAAGAAAGATATGCAGGAAGTGCCTACTGCTGGGGACTCCCTCCCCATCTGGAGGACTCCTGCCTCTGCATCCTCTTTCCGCTTCTTGGCTCACCTCCCTCCACACCCCGGGGATGAGGGCCTCACCTTGGAAGACAACAGGTGGTGGAACTGAGGGGTCAGATAGAACTGGATGCCCTTCCAAGCCCCAGGAAGGGTCACTCCTCGGACCAGCAGCATGATCAGGATGAGGTAAGGGAATGTGGCCGTGAAATACACCACCTGAGAGACAACAAGTAGGGAGCAGAGACACGGGAACTTCTACACTGCTCCTCTTCTTAAAATTCCATCACAAGACGCTGACACTCAGGGTCCACATCTCTAAAATTCCATCACGAGACTCGCCTACTCAACCTTTGGGGTGGTCCGAGCCAGGAACCAGACACCACTCAGGATGTATCTCCCTGTTGCCTCCACCCATGCAACTTGCCAGCAAAGTGCTGATGCCCCCCTGGAACACAAGGCACAGGTGTGGGCCCCACCAGTGTCACTCTCTGCTGTCACCCCTCTCCTAGCAGGGTGTGTGTGAACAAGGCACAGCTAGGGAATGGGGTGGTATCCAGACCTATGTCCACTGCCATACCTGTGCAGGCCACCAGCAATGGTTCAAGAGCCTCCTCCTCCCGTGTATACACTCTTCCCTGCAAACCCCTCTGCACAATCATCAGAAATTTGACAATCCCAACCCCTCTGCCCTCTCCCAAACCAACTCCTTCCTTGAGCCCCAACATCCTCACTGCTTTGGCCATGACCATGACCACCCCTTCTCTCTTTCTAAATGCTTTCCACCCTGACTTCTTAGTCTTTTAACAGCTCTGTTCCTTGTGGTCAACAGCTCTCACACAGAGGGACACATTCACATTTACAAATGGTGGATGGAATCATTCACAAGGTTTCCAAGTCCTGGAACAGCCTGGTGACTCTTCCCACCCCTTCTTTACCTCCAGTGTTCTTTAGTGGCTTGGTTCTCCCTGCATCTAGTCTGCCTTCCCTACATGAGGCTCACTCCACGTCTAGATGCAGGAATGAGCACAGGACCCAGTCCCAACCAAGCAGAGCATGCCATCTCCCTGGTCACCGAGATCTGTTCAGGTCTGACTTCCCTTCCCATGTGGGTACATGTGTACAGGGGAGAGGAACATGGCCCAGATTACCAAATAAGACTAAACTCTACAAAACTGTGGAAAGAGAGAACTTTTCAACAAGTAGATTATATGTAAATCTGGTGCAGCTGGGTCAACCTCGGGAAGAATGAGGCCTCAAAAGGAAACCAATGCCAGGAAAGCACTGTTGCCAGGCCAGAGAAGCAGATTCCTAATAATATCCAATAAACCCCAAGACCCAGCTATGCTTAAAGCACATCTTCTGGGCTTTCCAAAGAGCCTTGACTCATATATCCACCCTCTAAGCAGTAACAAACTATCACCAAGTCCCTCCAAAGCGCCAGGTACCAGGTAAGCGTGCCAACTCGAATCACCTAGGGTGCTGCCCATGGTGGGCTTCTAGTCTAGAAAGCAGCCCAGCCCCTGTCCCTCCTCACCTTTCCTCAGGCAGTGCCCCTCCCCCTGACAGGTGAAGTCTGTCTTCTCAGCCTCAGTCAGAGCCTGTCTCCTCCCACCTGGCCTGCCCTCAGGCCTCTGGGGCCACCCAGACCTCACCTGGCCGCCCTTAGCCTCACCTTGCCCGAGGACTTCACTCCCTTGAGGATGCAGAGGAACACGATGACCCAGGCCATCAGCAGGCAGAGGCAGAGGTTCCAGCGGATCTCCCCAGGCCTGCCAATGCCCTGGCTGCCCTGGATGTGAAGGACGTAGCGGCTGTGGGAGACAGAGGTCCAAGTGTCCTCAGGTCACCCAGTCATGCTCCACAGGCCTGGGGCAAAGCTTTGTCCAGTCTTCAAGGTCCTACTGGCTCTTCGCTATGTGGCAACCCTCTGATCTTCTCCATCTTTCTCTGGCTGACTCTGAGTTCAAGAGCTGGTCTCTAGCAACCCATGCCTGGGCTCCCTTTCTCCTGCACTTCCATGCTGGTTTGCCTGAGGTGAGCAAACAGCAGGAGGCCGAGAGTGGGAGAAATGAGAGATCTGGGTATTTGCACATGTGGACACACACACACACATGTGCCATCCAGGGGCCTAGCTGTGTTTCTGTGAGCTATGGTTCTTGCCTGGCAGCCCCTCTTCCAAGGCTCCAATTCATCCATTCCCTGGCCCTCTTGCTTCCTGGGTGGTAACAGCTCTCCCTATTGCTAATCCCTAGTGCCCCCTTTCCTTATGGGTTCCCTGACTCTCAAGACAGGCCCCTCATTAACCTCCCTCCAGTTCAGCCCTCTTTGTGGTACCATCTGCCCCCTGTCCACATGCTGACAGATACAGTGGGCTGTGGTGTTGCCACAGAAATCCTGGGCAGCTGATGTGACCATGTCAAGTTCTTTGGCTTTGCACTTTGGGCCCAAGTCCATGCGCTCCCAAGGGTCAGATGATCTTCAGCAGGGTGACCTTGAAATGGACAGATGAGTGAACTGTGCAGTCCTCACAGGCTAGAACAGTTCCAGGCATGGGACCATCTGGGGGAAATCACTCAGAGCAGCTCCTTGCAGTGGACGGGAAGGGGGTATCTAGTCTGTCCTCTGGCTACCCAGGGGCTAGGCTACTCTAGAATGTTCCAGAACAGGACTGGGATTCAGGAGTTCTTAGAATCAATATTGCCTCTACTGAGCAAACCTCTGGGCCTTATTTTCCCAGCTATAAATTGGGGCACTGGGATAGGCAGATGGGCCTCCACATCTTTCTGACAGCCACCATTCCCCGAGCTGACAAGGTGCTTGTGACTGGGATGATGGTTCTACCTTGTCTATATCTCACAACAATCCTTTACTATAGCCTCCTGTCTCCTATTAGAATAATCTAAGATAGTCCTTACTCTGCATGCTTCTGACCCAATGCTAAGTGCTTTCCCTACTAATACAGTAGGTGCTCAATAAGTACTTATTAAAATAGCGAGTAAGACAGTATATTGGTACACGCCTGTACACCCAGCATTGGGAGGCTGAAGCAGGAGGATGGAGAATTCCAGCCTGGGCTATATAACAAGGCCTGTCTCTCCAAGAAGAATGAATGAACGATAAGTAAATGATGGAGGAGATAGCAACCTGTGAAGAAGGTACTACTGCTACCCCCACTGCTACAGAGAAGGAAACTGAGACTTCAAAATGTCACTAGTACTGCTATTACCACCATCATTATTATCATTAAGTAGCATTTATTGAGCACTTACTGTGTAGCAAACAGGACTGCAAAATCTATACATAGCTTCCCTATGATCTCTACAGCCACCCTCTGAAGACGCCACTACCATTGTCCCTCATTCTACAGACAAAGCCACAGAAGCTAAATGAATCAATCGTTCAAGGTCACACAGCTGGTCAGATGAGGAACTTGGATCAGAACCCAGAGTCCATCTACCACTAGCATCTGCACTCTGTCCTTGGGGTGCCCCCCCCAAGCTCCTTGGGGACACTGGCATTTCCTACCCTCTCCCTGCCCACCCCCAGTAGTGCAGGTGCTCTGCTGGCTGGCCGTGGGCCAGGCTGTCTGACCTCCAGTACTCCTCACTGGGGCTGACGGTGCTGGTGAGGTTGAGTGGCAGTGCCCCATTGCCATCCCTGGGGCCTCTGTGCTCTAGGCAGCGCTCTGTGTTCCACCAGTTGCCACAATGCTCCCAGGGCAGGCTGCTGGCAAGGGAGGCGAAGAGGTAGAAGAGGACGTAGGCAATGATCATGTTGTAGTAGATAGCCACCAAGCCTACGATGAGCAGCATGGCTGCACCGGCACCTGGTGTGGGAATAGCCGTCACCTCTCTGGGCTTCGCTTCCCTTTCTGCCTGGTGCTTGGAAGGGAGGTGGGGCAACTCCCTGCCTCCCCCAGGCCCGGCCCGGCCTTACCTTTGAAGAGTGGGCTGATTTTCCAGACAGCCAGAGGCCCCAGGCTGGAGAACTGACCGAGAGAGAGCTCCAGGAAGAAGAGGGGGATGCCACAGATGGCTAGCATGAGGAAGTAGGGCACAAGGAAGGCACCTGTGGGGAGAAGAGAAGGTTGGGGAGGGGCTCAGGTGAGTCAGTGTCCCTCCATAGCCCAGCTCTGGCTCAACCTCCCCTGAGAGCAGTCACCACCTGCCAGTGGATGGGACTGTGTACCTGCAGGTCACCGAAGGCCAAGAGGACTGGCAGGACTTTACTCACCTCTGTAGCCCTGATGCCCAGAACAGGGCTAGGCTCCGAGCAGACACTGGAGAAATGCCTGCTCAGTGAGTGAATAAAGGAGAGAGTGAACAAAGGAGTGGATAACTGAATTTCCTACCAAAGAGAGTGAAAACTCCTCGGTATGAAGTCAATGCTTTCAGACCCTGGCTCCATGTGCCCTTCCACTGCCCACCAAGCTACCTCACATACTTATGGTTTTGTGGGCCCAGCACTATTTTTCCCTGTCCTTCTCACATTGGCAGTCACCTCCTTCAGACAACTGCCCTTCACCATGTGGCTCTGCAGGGGCTGCAGTCACACCAGCCAGCTCTCGACTCCCTCTTGTACCCCTGTGGACACATCTCCCAAGTGAGGCCAAGCAGAGACTTTCTCTGCAATTCTGCATAGACTCATTCAGATGGAGCATTTCTGGACAGCTCTGGGGTGACTGAAACCAAGTCATTGCAGAAGTGTCTGAAGGAGGAAGCCTTCCAGTCTCAGGAAAAAGTGTCACACGCAGAGAAGGGCAGGGAAGCAAGGAGAGGGAGAAACAGTAGGAGTTTCCGGGGTCTTAGAGGCCGCCTCCATCCCACATTGCTGGTCTTATAAATGTCTTTGCTTTATTTCACCCAGTTTTATCTGGATCTCTTTCACTTGATCAATATCCATTCTGGAACATATTCGGAAGAGACAGTTGGAGATACAGGGACTGGAGAGAAAACATGGTCTGGAAGGAGATGGTACTAGGTTGTAATACTGGGTCTGACCCCTGTGACCTTGGGCAGAGAACCAGGACTCTCTAGAACCTGGCTGCTTTATCATTTCCACAGTGCCTACCCAGGTGGGTTGTCATCGGGGTTAAGTGAGGCAGGCACCAAGCCTAGGGCCTGTGGGTGGTGAGCGATAAACCCTAGCTATTGTTACGAGTCTTAGTACAGTAAACTTGATGGAGAAGCAGGGAGCAGGGACAAAAGGAGAGCTTTCATAAGATGGGGGAGACCTTGTGTTTGCAATCTGAATGGAAAAAAAGCAGGAGAGGAGGAAATATTGAAGAGTCAAGAGAGGGAATGATTAATGGAGCAGGGCTCTGGAGGAAGCTGGAGAGGGGATGGGTGAATATTAAAAACGTGAGGATTACTGACAAGCAGATAGAGTCTTTTATCTCCAAGCACAGGCAGCTCCCTCTGTCTTCTAAGCAGGGCCAGGGAGTGTGGAGCCTGAGAGAGAAAACCATGTGGGTATCTGTCCTGGGGATGAGAGGGAGGGTGGAAGAACTTATCCTAGTCCAAGGTCACACGGAGACAGTGACTTGAAGCCACCTAAAAGCTCATTCCATCTCAGAGTTTTGGGCTACCACCCCAGACACCATTGCACAGGATCTCAGACCCATACCTCCTCCATTGGTGTAGGCTCGATAGGGGAAACGCCAGACGTTTCCCAGACCCACACAGTAGCCAATGCAAGACAGCAGGAAGTCCAGCTTTCCCGTCCAGTTTCCCCGGTCTGCGGCAAAGTCCATGTCCAGGTCCACATCGCCCTGGTCACTGGGGGTCATCAGCAGGTCTGGGGTAACAGGCTGCCAGTAAGAGAGACCAAAGTGAGGAGGGAGAAGGCTGAGCCCAGGCTGGGGCTGGGACCCCAAGTCAAGAACATGGAATTGGATAGGGCTGAGTGAAGAGTTGCTCTAAGGGTTCAAGTAATCAAGTGCTCTCAGCCCCAGTCCTATGCAGGAGAGATCCTCCGGACCAGCAGGTGGCTGCCAGCACTGAGAAAGCTGTCTGATCTCCTAATTTAGGAATGAACCAAGGATGGTCCTATTTTTGATGACGACGATGATGATCTCAGTAATAGTCACCACGTGTTAGTGCTCACTGCACTAAACATTTCACTCACATCACCTGATTTCATACTCAAGACAATTCTATGAGCTAAGGACTCACCTAAGCTCCATTTTAAGCATGAGAAACACTGAGGCTCAACGAGGGCTCGTGACTTGCCCAAGGTTTTTACCTGTTGGCTAGGGGGAAAACTAGGCTTTGAGCCCAGTTTCCTGATGCTAATGACCTTGTCTTCATCCACCATGCTGGAGTTATGTTTCTGTTCTGGGCACTTGATTTTAAGAAAGACACTGACAGTGTGGAACATGTCCAGAGGGCAGGTGGCCAAACCGGAGGGTGTTCAGGAAAAGATGTTACCGGGGGACAAGGCTTCCAAGCCTTTAGCATGGGAAGCAGAGTCCTTGGGAGACTGGACTCCCTGAAGGAGGGATTAGGCTTATGCCTAAGGACTGTGGATTTTAGCTCATGATCGGGAAGAAGCTTCTTAAGCCTGGTGTGACTCAGAAAGTCTTAGTCTTTCTGTCATTGGAGGACAGATATGTGCAGAGGGGAATGGAGACCAGCTGTTCTTTATGTCCCCTTTCACAATTCCAAGTGGGCAGAAAGGTCCCCTTCTGGCTGGGGCTGAGAGACAGAAGCCCACTTCCAGCTACTTGGGATCCTGGTCTCAAGGGATAGAAGTTGGCATGCCCAGGCTTAGCACCTGGAAGGAAGCTCAGAAGTACTGGCAGGTCCATCTAAAATTTAAAGGGTATCTTCCAGCAAGTGACTCACGAGTGGGTCAGGAAAAAGGGGCAGCCACACTTTGCCTACTTGCCTCTGAAATTCACACCCTATAGCAGAGAATAGTAGAATGCAAAGAAGGCCAATTAGCACTATCCAGGGTCTTCAGAGAGGAGAGAGGACCCTCCTACGTCCTGTCAAGAAATACTGGTAGGAAAACCATGACTCCACTAAATTGGGAGTTAGTAGAGTGACTAACACACTACATAACTTTAGGATCTTCTGAGCCTCAGTTTTCCCATCTGGACAATGAAGGGATTGGATAGATCATCATTTCTAAAAACATATCCCTTGGGATATTCATAGCATTCTGTGGGAAAATGGTCCTTGAGTCAAAGAAGTTTGGGAAAACCTGGGTTAACACAAACTAAAACTTGTTTCTTTTCTACAGAACAGAACTTGTCAGATCCTTAAGGCTCAGTGGTTGTCCAAATAGGAACTAGAAGGCAGTACTCCTCCCAAATTCTATTTAAGGGTCTCAAGAAGCCACCGTGCTTGGATGTAGTTGGGGAAATCGGGTCCAGACAGTGCCTGAATTACTGCAATCAAGATGGTGAAAGGAAGGCTGGGTGTGGCCTAGTGGTACAGCACTTGCCTAGCATGCTCCAAGCCCTGGGTTCCATCCCCAGCATCCCTAGAAGAGTAGGGCTGCTACAAGTGTCACAGAACTGGAGGTGTCTGCTAAGGTGAGTGTTGAACAGTGCATTAGGTGACAGCATTGTGCTAACAGTGTTAGGTTGACTCTCAGTGATAGTGGTGACCATGTTTGTGATCTTGTTTGTGACTGGGCAGTGGTAGCAAGGACAGCCTGTCATGATTATAGGTGATAGTGACAATGACAGAGAATTTCTTTTAAAGCCAGTAGGCTTCACAGGTTGAGACAAACATATGTTGGACTGGCAGCTTTTTGCTATGGTCTCAGCCATGCTGAAGTGGGAAGGGGGCAGCAGCTCTAGACTTACTGAACCCCTCCTTTCCCTAAGGCTGCTTCTTTAGCTAGTAAGCATCCACCTTCCAGAGCCTCTGGCTCCCAGGTGAGCTCTGGGAGGGATGAGGCAGCAGCCAACTGACACCGGCCCTGACCTTGGGTGGCAAAGTGGACCTGCCACCCTGAGATCCCCTGTCCTGTTCAGGTCAGCTGGCAGGAGGTCCTGGTAATGAGGCTTCTCTGATCCCTCCACAGAAGCTGCCCTTTCCACGCTCACAGAGCAGTCCCTGGCTCTGTTTCCATGGCAACAAGAGTTCCAAGAGCAGGATACTGAGAGCTCATCCCCTACCTCCCCCAATCAGAGGGACGCTTGCTTGGGCTCCCGGGCCAGGGGACAGGGTCCTCCAAAGCCAAGTCAATCAAAAACCTACCTGGAGTTTCCCACCTCACCACAGGTTGAATCTCAGGAGGCTGGCACAGTGGGGATGGGGGTTGTTGAGAGACAAAGGACAGCGACCACATAAATGGGGCAGGGTCCTAAACTATCTGAGTTGCTTCATAGTTGGACCTGGGTGGGAGCCCCCACTTCTGAGCCCCCACTCTGTGCCCCTGGGTCATGCAAGAACACACACCTGAGTTTTGCCAGAACTGCACCCTCTCTTTTAGAGAGCAGCAGATGTAGATCCCCACCATAGGGATTGGGAGAGGCAGAATTGCCCAAGCCAAGGCTCTCATACCTTCTCCAAGACAGACAGACAATAAGAATTTGGACTCCCACTTCATCATTGTATAGAGGAGGGAACGGAGATTCAGGGAGGGGATGACCCAAGGTCAAATAGCAAGGTAAGGGCAGAGCAAGACTAAGACCCAGATCCCTTGACTCCTAGTCCAGTGCTCATCTCTGAATGATGATGCTTCTTTGCTGTACCTTGGCATTTTCTCCCTCCTTGCCTTCTTCTCTTTGAGACCTAGGAAGGAGATCCTGAGAGATCACCCCAAGAGAACCCTCTGTGCCTCAGTTGTCTTGTCTATAAAATGGGGATAGTAGAACCTAGGACCCCCAGAGTCATTAGAGACTAAATGAGATGAGGCTGGCTAAGCTCACAGCTACCACCTAGGAGAACTTCACAATACATGGCTATTTACATAAGTGTGGCCTGTGGTGGAAAGGGGCAGGGGCTCTTGTGGGGAGGGAGAGCAAAGAGGGAGAGAAAAAGAGTGGGAAAAAAATGAGGGCAGGACCCAAGAGGACCTCAAATGGTCCCAAGGAGTTACTCAAGTCAGCCACTTACCCCAGTGGTTCCATGCTTGGCAGCACAAGGGCAGAGAGCTTGAGTCAGTGTGTGTGTGTGTGTGTGTGACAGAGAGAGAGAGAGAGAAGCCCCTGTGAATTCTCACACCCACCTGTCTCTTCCTGTCCACAGCATTCCACCCTCTCCACCTTGTGGGGGAGGTGGCGTTGGTGTCCCCACATTGGGGAGGGTTAGAGAATGGACCTGTTCAAAGTCACAGTGCAAGGGGCAGCTGCTCCAGGAGTTCTGACTCATTGACTTCTACCGACCTGAACTTTTAAGCCAAAAGCCAGAAAACTTCTCCCAATCCTCCCCTCCCCCACCCCTCCCCTCAACAACTCAGCTGGGAGGTCCTCCCATCCGCAAGGCCAGGAGAGGATGAGGTCTGGGGCCACGTCTGTCCCCAGCATCCACCTCTACTTCTTATCCTGTGGTCTCCCTTTCTCCCCCTGCCTCCTTTTGCCGCCCTCAGCCCTGCACCTTGGGGGCTCAGCAGGGAAGGAAAGGCTGCCAGGAGAAGGAAGGGGGCGGGGAGGACACAGGTTGAGGGGCCTGCAAGGCAGCAGCCGGCAGAAAAGAAGCGGGGGTCCGCTATAGGCTGGCAGAGGCTGCATCAGTACACAGTGCCCAGGTGAGCACCAGGTCGCTACCCGCCCCCCGCCCCCGAAATTAATACCGCTCAAGGCAGGCGCTCAGCTTCTGACACTTCCACCCGCAGTAAGACCCCTGGGGGAGCAGGGGCGGATTGGCGAGAAGCAGGTGTCTTGCCGCAGCCACCCCTACCAGTGCCTCCTGGAGCTGCAGACACCTGTTCGCGCAGGCCAGAGCCAGTGAACCCGGGCCCCCACTACCTGCATCCCACTCCCCAGGAACCACGACCCCGCCCCTGACCGTAATCCGGCTCAGTTGGGCCTCCCCAGCCCTGGGTGGGTTCGGGCCCCTCCCGCCTCGCGCCCTACCTTGCGGAGGTGAGCTCCCTGGAGCTTCTTCATCCTGGAGGGCGGGTGCTGGCGCTTCCCCGAGCGAGCGCGAAGAGCGAGCCAGCGAGCGAGCGAGACGGCGAGAGCTCGTCCGCCAGCGGCGCCCTACCCGCCGCTCCCGCGCGCCGGCTGAGGTGGGCGCGGGCGCGGGCGCGGGCGCGGGCTCTGCCGTCTGGCGGCTGCGGGCGTGGGGCGCGGGCCCGGCGCTGAGAAGAACGCCCCTGCCTCTCCCTGCGCAGCGCACGAGGCTGGGGAGACACCCAGACAGACCCGATGACCGACAGACCGCGGCTGGGGGATGCGCGCGCCCCCGCACGCAGAGCTCCGGATTGGAGGGGCCCCGAGCGCGTGAGGAGGGGTGTGTGCGACAGAAACCCTCCGCCTCAGCTGCCTCCTAGGTGACCTTGGGCGAGTGACCTACGCTCTCTGGGCCTCCCTTTCCTTAGTTGGGTGAGGAGGGAAGCAGGCCTCCCATTGCTCTTTGCTGTGTGACCTTAGTCAAGTTCTCTGTGTGGCCACTTCTTCATCTGGAAAGTGGGAGTAAGAATGTCACTTCCTTTGCAGGGATGTGAGGAAATCAGGGAGATGGAACAAGGGAAACAGCTAGCACATGGCCTGGAACATAGTAGACACTCAGATTGACCAACCGTGATTTGCCCATGGGCTATTTATTACTCAGTACAACCGATCAGTGTTTATCAACCACCTAAAATGGTCCTGAGTTAGATGCCTCATTTTCCCAACCTAGAGAGGCAGGCCTTAGTACTCCTATTTTTCAGATTAGGAAACTGAAGGGCAGAGAGTTCTAGTTACTTACTCAAGGTCACACAGCTAGTATGCGGACATCAGGGACAGTCAGGCTTCATGGACCTTCCTGACTAGTCGTGATCCACAATGCTACTCCTTTCCTTGAGATGAAAATGAAATCAGAAGGTTTGGGCGAGAAGAAGGGACAGGCAAGTGCCGCTGTGTTGCTGGGACTTAGATTGTCAGGACCAAATTTTTGTCCTCCAGCAGTATGACCTTGGGAAAGTTATGATTTTGCATCTGTAAAATGGGCCACCAGCCAGCTAGTGCATGGTTCTGATGGTCCCATGGTTCCTAGCCCATGGCTAGGATGGGATATGATTGTCTAGAGCGAGCATATGCATCAGTTTGCTGGGACTGAACTTGCTATGCTTGGGGACAGGCACATACATACATTACACATGTGCCTCCTTTACTTTTGAGGTATCCTAGTTCAGATATTAGCCAACTATATGTTGGCATCTACATGGGGGAGGCTTTGGGAAAAGTGAGGGTAAGGGTCCGCTCTTTGTCCCTGGAAGCTTGAAATGAGGTGGGGAGGGTTCAGATCTTAGCATGGGGAAAGTGAAGGCCCTGCTGCTCCCCTTTAGGCCTGTCCAGCTGCTCTTCCTTTTAAGCCTGACCACACAGAGCAGGCTAGGGCTCTCCAGACCCAGGAGGAAGGAGTCTTCTTTACCCGATGCTCCCAGGCCTAAGGTTGCCATGAATGTGAAGAGAAGACACATTTACTGAGCCTTACTGTGTGCATTACAACAAACGTCTACATCCACTAAGCAGTTTTTTAATTCTTCCCAATAGCCTGAGAAGACAGTTTGTGCATCTCATTTTATACCTGAGGAAACTGTCCAGAGGAGTAAAGTCATGTCCTTAAGGTCACATGGAACATGGAATCTCTGGGCTTTGAAAATGAAGCCAGGAGGGCTTTGGGCCCTGCCTGGAGAGAGGCAAAAGCCAGAAGCTCCTGACTCTGACTGAGGAGGCCCAATGGGGACCAGCAACACCTCCCCACACCCCCCAGGGCCTGTCACTGCATCTCCTACAGGATAGGCAGCAGTCTTTCCCTCATTGGCACTGGGGTTCCATCAGACCCTTTGAGGCCCAGAGAACCTGAGGAATGAGGAGTAGGGTAAGGCAGAGGCTCAGGAGTCTGGAAGACTGGTCTCTTTCTGGCAGCATCTAGGGGAGAAGTAGAACAGGGCAAAATGTTAGCCTTCCTAGAGTAAGCACATCATGGGGTAACCACTGAACTTTGGTGACGATCACAGCAACTGTGGCATTCAGTCTAGGTCCACACGTTTCAAACAGGGAAACGTAGGCCCAGAGTGGGCAGGACTTGCAAAATCACTTGCAGAGTCACACCTGGAATCTAGGAATATGACCCCACCAGGCTGGGTGGTCCACATCACACAGCTCTGCTACCCTCTCCCTGTCACTTGCTTGGGAAACAAGCAAGACCCTATCATTTTCTAGAGGATGTTATCCACATTGGTCACTCTACTCACTGAAGCCTTGATTTTGTGACCTTCAAGTGACCAGGAGTTCAGTGACCAAACACATTTGACTGTTCCCTCTCCGCTATTCCAGAGGGCCTTGACAAAAATAACTACTTAGGAATCCATATGGCAAATAGTCTACCTTTCTACCTTCCCTTCCTTCCTCCCTCTCTTCTTTCCTCCTCTCAGTATTTCTCCTGATCTCACGTCAAATCAGAAGTGAAATGGAGATGTATGCTGATTTAAGGAAAGTGTTAGATGAAAATGTACTTCCTTTTATTATATAGGGAGATATTTTTAAATGCATATAAATAAACATTTTTAATTTGCTTAAACGTTCAGATTTTATCACTGTGGAGCATGTGTTTTGTTACACCAGGAGTGGTGACTGTGAAAAATGAGATTCCAGACTGCAGTCCATCTGGCGTGGTACAGAGAAAGTGGTTCTGGAACAGCCCCTCTGGGCTGGTCCAGGTTTGGCAGGGATGGCCTCCAAAGCTGGCCTGGGCTGGGCACACTGGGCTCTCTGCTCTGCATCTCACCCACTCAGGGCCAGACTGGTTTCCTCAGAGATCCACAGACCTCCTGTCACTATTCCTGCCATCACAGCCCTTTACACACATTCTGCTGCTGGGAGACCTCCCCCACTAGAGCACGAGGCTTCGAACCCTAAGTCTGTCCTGAGAGCGGGCTGAGACCTGCTCTGCTCAGCCTGCACCAGGCTCTTGGCACTCAACAATGGCACTGGCTCCTCCATAAGACTAGGGTTCTCAACCTGAGGCTGGGGTCTATGGATCCTGGGAAATTGTCTGCAAAACATGGTGCTGATGTGCATGGTTCTGATTTGGCCTTAGAGGGCCAAGCCACATCTATTTCTGGCCCAGGTCTCCAGCAGCAGTGCAGGGTCATCCTCCCGGCCGAGGGGACTGCACAATCATTAAGTGCAAAGCAGCATTAGCCTTCCTGATAGGATGGCTGGAATGCCTCTTAGCCCTGGGGTGGCTGCAGGGTCTGATGGACCCTGAGGGGTCTCTTTCCTGAGCCATTGCAATATCCCAATCTCTGGTGGGACTCATTGGGTGACAGGAAAGTTACAAGGCACAAGGCAGCCATGGAAGAGTCCTGGGTGAGTTTCTTTCTTCATAGAGCTCAAAAGCTGATTGACAGGTGACCACCAACACAGCTTGTGGGGCCAGCCAACCTGCTGGTCCCTCATCTGAACCATGGCTGCAGTTCCACAGCTGGCCAGGTCTGGCCACTGGCCTCCTGCCAGGCAGAGGTCTCCGGGAGGCTGGGGACAGGCCACCATCTGTCCTTAGCACTGGGGGTGGGGTTGGTCAGAACATCAGTCAGGCCTGCCAGCATCTTACACTAGGATGTAACAGCCCTGTGAGCAGGTAAAACATGAGCATTACTGTGTGTTGCGCCAGGCACACACAATCCTAGGATCACTTACGTTATTTCCCTTTGACAAAAGAGGCGGCTGAGGCTCAGAGCAGTTAAGTAACATGACTGAAGTCTCACAGCCTGGAGGCAGTTACGCTAGAACCCAGCCCATCTGACCATAAAACCTGCTGCCCCACTGAGTCACAGGAAAGGCATGACCCTACATCTCAGTCACCCCAGCAGTCCAGAGTAAGCGTACAGTGGGATGCTAGTAGAGGCCTCTGGATAGGAAGCATGGGAAAGAAAATTTGAGGGTTTCCTTGCTGTGGGGTTTGCCAGCGCCTTTGATGTGTTAATACCCTACTATGACTCCTTTTCTGGAAAAGGAGGCCAGAGAGAGGAAGTAGTTACCCCAGGGTCAACACAGCGAATGTATTTAAAGATTAGAAAATTGGAGTCAGGTGCAATGGCTCATGCCTATAATCTCAGCTACTCAGAAGGTAGGGATTGGGAGGATTGGAGTTTGAGGCCAGCTCAGGTGAAAAGTTAGTGAGACTCCCATCTCAACAAACAAGCTGGGCATGGTACTTCATAGTTATAATCCCAACTATGCAGGAAGCAGAGGTAGGCTGATTTCCGTCCAAGGGCAGGCCCTTGGACAAAAAAGTGCAAGACCCTATCTGAAAAATAAACTAAAAAGGGCTGGTGGCATGGCTCCAGTGGTACAACACCTGCCTAGCAAGTGTAAGGCCCTGAATTCAAATTCCAGTACTGCCTAGCAGAGGCTGGGGAGGAAGGAAGGAGAGAGAGAAAAGAAAGATGAAAGAAAAAGAAAAACTGTGTTTACTGCCAGACACCCTTCCACCTGCCCCTCTCCCCCTGCTCTTGGAACCCTGGTCCTTTCTTCTGCTACCACCTGGTCTCCTGCTACTGATGAGGTCCTGCTGTCTCCCTGGGCACCAGCAGGAAAGGGAGAAGTGCCTGCTGGAGTGCAGGGGCTGTGACAGGGCAGATCCACTTTGTGCACTGTTAGCAAAGGCCCCAGGAGCAAAGGGCAATGCAGGCAGGTTGCACACACTTTTTATGGCCTGGCCACCTCCCAGAACAGCAAACACAGGGGCAGGAAGCTGGCACAAGAGCCCTTTGGGGAGAGAAGGCCCACCTCTGGAAGGGAGGTAAGAGCAGCAGCTTCTTGTAGGAGTTAAAAAAAAATCATATTCTGGATTCATATTGCTCATATTGCTTCTTACCCTTCTTCCCTTCTTGGCTGGACCAGCACCCACTAGTCTTTAAGGTCTTGGTTCAAACACTGCCTCCCCCAGGAAGCCTTCCAGGCCCCAGGAAAGCCAGGAGCCTGCTCTGCACTTCCCATCATGCCCAGAGCACAGCTCTTGATTGGCTTTTATCCTTCTATCTTAGCACCACCTGCATACATGGCTGTCTTCCCACTGGACTAGGGACGTCAGGGTGGCAAGGACTGTGTGCTTCCTGGGTCCAGCCATGCCTGGCACATGGGCAACTGAAAATATTTGAAATATTCAAAAAACTGACAGATTGAATCTGATGATTCTGCTTACAAAATGGACTGACATTTTTTCAGTCTCATAGATTTGCTCTACCAATGTCCTGTTTTGATCTTTTAAATATGTTTTAAAGGTGACCTTGTTGTAGGCCTATGGAACTGGAAGGGAATACACAATTAGGGAAGGATGAGAGTGATTTTGATTCTTAAAATTTTTTTCTTTAATGCTATGTATAATGATTTTTACACAGTTTTAAAAAGAGGGAAATTTTATTCTTGAAGCTGTATCCAGGAGACTCCACTCGCTCTATAACATTTGTCCACCTGTGAGCTTCATTTGGTACTTGCTGGGTCGGTGGGGAGGTAGGACCCACTAGCAGGTGGCCTCTGTCCCCTTCTCTCCTGCAGGGGCCTCCCCCTCTGCCCACAGGCCTCCTGGGTGTGCAAGTGAGTGGCCAGGGTTCTGCACCCCAAAGGCAGTCAGCAGAGTCCCTCCCTCAGGCTCAGTCCCAGGCTTTTTGTCAGCCTCCAAGCTGGGGAGGGTCAGGGAAGGTGACAACAATGATGGGGCAGGTAGAAGTGAGGCTGCAGGAAGAAGCAGGTGGGAGTTGACCACATACCTGCTTCTCAGGTCAGGTCTCTCTCAACATCCCCTCTTGAGGTCAGTCTGTCCCCTACAGAGGCCTCCCACCTCATCCCTTGAACCTGTAATGATGAAGTGGGCCTGGGGATTTGTCTTGGCCCTTCCACCAGTCTCTGGGGTTTGAGATGTCCCCAGGAGACTGAGACTTCCCATGCTGAGCTCTCTTATCCCTCTGAGGCCTAGAACACAGGAGCTGGAAGAGGTCTGTAGCAGAAAGGCTCACAGCACAGACAGGCTAAGGGGTGCAGGGATTGCGTGGGTGACTTGTCCACAGTAACCCCAAAGGTCAATGGCGGAGCTGGGATACACACCAGGCTTCTTGGGCCCCTAAAGAAGCCCACTTTTCAGTACCCAAGCCCCCAGGTCCTGGGCCCCAAGGTGGGAAGGGGCTAGGGCAGAAACTCTTCTTTGACAGGCATGGGGGAGGAGGCACCCAGGAGGCCAGCATTGCTGGGGCACAGAACCCCCAGGGATGGCCCAGCGGCCACAGTGGTGCCATCCAGGGCTGGGGGCAGCTGTGGAGGAGGTGGCTGCTGCTGCTGCTGTTTTTTCTTGTTCACTTTGCGCTCCTTGGCCCGCCGGTTCTGGAACCAGATCTTCACCTGTGGGATGGCAGAGTAGAGATGAGGCAGAGGTGGGAGGGAGTGGCAGAGCTGGGAGAGAGGGGGACAATTGTGCTTATCTCTCTCCAGGTGGCATTTGTGGTCTCCCTCCTGCTACAGCCACCAGATCTCAGGGTCCCCAGCACATTTTCCCCATCTAGAATTTGCTCCCCTCCCCCAGGCACCCTGCTTTACTTCCCTCCTTCCCCTTCCAAGACCTGTTTTCACCACTCTCCTGCGGAGAGCCCACCCTGGGCCCTGGGCCCTGGGCCTGCCCCATCTCTAGGTTTAACAGCACAGCTGGCTGCTGCAGCCTACAGCTAGCCATACTCCCTTTATCCCCTTGATGGGGGGGCAGGGATGTCAGAGTTCACTGGGGAACCTGGCAGCAACTTAAGTGTCTGCTATGCTGTGACCATGACCTGGTGACATCACCTCTCTGTTCTCCCTCTCTGAGCTTTGAAATCTGTGTAGTAGCCCAAAAGCTACATTCTAGGCCCTGCTTCCTCTTGGAGCTAAGGCGGGAACTCACACACCTGCCGTTCAGTGAGCCCTAGATTAGCTGCCAGCTCTGACTTCCGCCGGATGGTGATGTAGCGACTGTAGTGGAACTCCTTCTCCAACTCCAGGCGCTGGTGGTCCGTGTAGACCACTCGGTACTTGTCCTTGGTCCGAGTCTTACCTGAGAAGCAGAGGGGCCAGGAGGAAAGGGGAGCTTGTCAGGAGGAGCCTCAACAGGCTGAGGTAGGCACTGGCAGGAAGCTGCTGATGGAGGATACGTAACCAGGGTTCCTCTCCTGCTCTGAGCAGCTGCTCCCCAGCTGTTAGGCAGCCTTGCCAGCTGTGGCTGGGCTGCAGACCTGTCCAGGGAGCTGGAGAAAGCGCAGCTTCCAGGTATCCCTGCCCGCTCCATCAGGAAGCCTGCAGTGGAATCTGGATGTTTAAGAAACTCCCCAGAGGGTCTGGTTCAGAGATCCCCAGACCATGAGTTTGAACAGCGGAATCTGGGTATACAAGGAGACTTGGGGTGGGAGATTAGCTGCTCCTTGCTTCTGTGCACAACCAGAGAGCAGGGACGGCTGCTTAGACTCAGGAGCGGGGGGGACAGTAGGGGGAAGCAGGGGAATTTAGGAACTGTCATGGGCCAGAACACCCCAGTTCTGCTAAATACTAGTCCCAAAGTCAGACAGGAAGAATTGGGGCCGCTGCAAACCCCCAGGACCTACTAGATACTCTGAAGGACACCAAGGTCTCAGCTGGGTGCTGCACCAGGGGCAGAGCTAGTCTGCCTGCAGGTCATTTTCCTGCCTGTGTCCAGGCACAGAGCAGTGGTAACTGAGCTCTCCACTAGCCCTACTAAGCTCCTGCTGTGAACCACACACTGGGGTGGGCAGGGAGTGGACAAGAATTCCTGCCCACTTAAAGCTTAGGTTCTAGGGGAGAGAGACAGACAATAGAAAATAAACATGGAAAATATTTGATATGGTAACTGGTAATTATTTCAGAAGAAAAGAAGGCAGAAAGGGAGACTAGAGAGGAAGACTGAGCATTCAGGAAGGAGAGAGGTTGAAACTTTAAAAAGCAGGGCCAGTTTGGTGGGCATTGTTGGGTGCACATAGTCTTGGCTACTCCAGAGACTGAGGCAAGAGGATTGCCTGAGCCTAGGAGTTGGAGAATATCCTAGGCAACATAGTGAGACCCCATCTCAAAACAAAAACAAAATAGCAAATTTTGAACACAGTGTCTCTTGAAGGCCTTACTGAGAAGGGGAATTTAAGCAAAGAAGGGAGTGAGAAAAAAGAAGCATGCAGGTATCTGAGGAACAAATGCAAAGGCCCTGGGGTGGAAGCAGGGCCTTCTGACATGCTTACGTGTTTGAGGAACAATGAGGAAGCTGGTAGGACTGGGATGCCATAAGCAAGGGACACAAGGGCAGGAAACAAGGAGATGAGGTAAGGAACTCTGGGATTTACTCAGTCTGGTGTGGAAGCCATTGCAGGGTTCTTAGTAGGAGAGATACAAGGTCTGATGTAGGCTTTCATGTTCCTCTTGCTGCTGCACGGAGACAGACTAGGAAGAGGAACAGAAAGTACAAGGAGACCTGCAGTAGTCCAGGAGGGAGAGGCAGAGACTTGGCTTCTAGATTGGCTCTGCCTGGGCCAGAGCCGGAGTTGAAGGCCACCTGGGGTTAAGGGTAGAGCTCTTTCTGGGGCTGGGATTGGAGGTCAGTCTGGGGAGAATATTAAGAGTCCTGTTTGACCTGGGCTAGTGTGGGGGCCTTGCTTCCTCTGTAAGACCTGAGCATGTGGCTATAACTAAGAGGCGCATGCCAGCACACATATGTCCACCAGGACACAGCAGGCCTCAGAATAACCATGGAGCCCCTCCCACCTCACCCAAGTGCCCCACAACAGCACAGCCTTCACTTCCCTGGGTTGCAGCCCTGGCTCTGCCTGTCCCTCAGCGCAGCGATCCCCAATCGGGCCCCTACCCCCTCTAACAAGCCCACGCAACTTGGCAGGACAGCCACTGGGCTCCTTAGGAGCCAAGTGGTTATGTGGAGAACGGGAGACAGCAGATGTTCCTGGGAGGCTTTTCCCTGGGTTTTCTGCCAGAGCAGCGGAACCACGCTGGACATTTCCATATGCACTGACCTCAGTCTGCTGGCCCAACATAGCGTGGGGTAGCCTCGGTCCTTCGCTAGGCCTGGCCCCAGGAAGGAGCCAAAGGAGTGGCTACCAAGACCTTGGCTCCAGATAGGGCCCCTCCTTGGCCTAGAAAATCCAATGCTGGCTCAAAAATAGCTCTGCCTAATGCCACCAACCACCAGAATCTAGCATAGCTCTGAATCCACAGCCTGCTGGGTTCACTGGGCCAGAGCCAGAAGAGGTCTAGGGACTTCAGTCTCCTTCCATTTCACAGATGGGGAAGACTGTAGTTCAGGATGGCTACATGGCAGCCAGAGATCCAAATAAGAGGCCTGGGAGTCCCTCTAGTTCAACCCCCCTGTGGAGTCAGGGTCATTGGAGGCCCAGGTGGGCACAGACCTGCCTAAGACCATGTCCCTGGTCTAGAGCTCTCTGCCCCCTCCAGTGCACAAGTTCTCATCCTGCCATTTGAGGGACCACTGAGCACCCTGCATATCTTTCCTAAACATTGGCAATGGAGACTTACACAGCAGCCTCTCCCCACCCTCCATGCTACTCCTGGGGAAGGAGCAGTCAGGCCATGCTAAGGGCAGGGCCTCCTGAGAGCCCAGCCTGAGCAGGAGTTGGACGGCCTGCAGGTTGGGGCCTTTAAAATGCCCAGAGGACTCACAGCCACCCTCAGGAGGATGGATGTGGCAAGGGATAAGGTTCCCTGCCGCCAGGCCTCCCCTGAGTGGTTCCAGACCTAGTCTTGAAGACAGCCTTTCCCTTAGCACTCAGCTCTCCTTCCACCCTGTCTGGTGAGCCACAGGAACACACTATAGCCATTTCGCAGGGATGGGGGTGGGAACCAGAGCCTGGAAAGCAGTCTTGCTGAGGGCCATCCTGCCAGGTGGTGTGCTAGCCTCCAGCCGGCTCTCCCCAGGATGGAGGGGGTGTGGGACTGGATGGAGACAGGACATGGCGGCACAACTGCTGCTCTGTCCTGGCAAAGCTTCGGTGGAGATCTGGCCCACAGGCCTCGGCACCCCCTCTCTGGCCTTGGAGAGGAGATGGTGGGCTCAGGAGCACACTGGCCAACTGCTATCTGGCCCAGCTGCTTAAAGTGCACAATTTTATTGCTAAGAAAACAGCTCTGCCAGAAAACAAAATGTTTGATTACCTGTGTGGCACAGAAACCAGGGAATCCCACATGCTGGCCAGGGAATGAGTACTAAGGAGGGCATCCTCCATGGAGCCCAACTTGGCAGTATCTAGTCCCGTTTAACAAGCACAGAGTTTTGACCCATGAACCCAACTTCCAGGAGTTGACCTCATGAAGAACTGCCCACAGCTGCAGCTGCTTCTTCTAGCACAAGACTGAAAACAATGTAGGTGTATACAGGTAGGGAACCAGTTAAACAAAACATGGGACATCCATGGGGAGGAGCATGAAGCAGTCATTAAAAGGAAATTAAAAACCCTAAATATACAAAATGTAGTAATTTCTAAGATATTTGAAAAAAAGCAAGACATAGGATAGTGTAAAAAGGAGAGGGGAACTGGAGTAAAAAGCCACAGGTAGGAAGTACGCTTTAGGGTGTTTTAAATTTTTACTGTATGTACATGTGAAAAGTATTTTCAATTACAGTCAGGAGCTCTGGGCTCTGATCCTAGCTCTGGACAGAACTTGTGACTGCCCTGAACCATCCTCCCTGTTCTCTCCTCTGAGCACCTGTGCCACCTCAGAGATCAGAGCTGGGCGGGGTGGGGGGGGAGATGACATGGTGGCAGGGTGGTGCGTGAGAGCAGAGGGGTGGGGAGAGGGCCCAGATGAATGATTTACAGGCTCTTGGGACACTGGGTTAAGAGGGAAGTCCAGGCTCCTGTAACAGGTGTCTGATGAGGGGCCAGCCACTCCCAGGTACCTAATGAGTAACCTCAGGGCGAGATGCCAGTGTGAGTGGGTAGGAGGGAGGTGGAGAGCCCCCTGCACCTGAGGGCTGAGCACAGAGATGGGGGGGGAGCCTCGGATCACTCACCCATATGACAGGCCCACTCTCTGCTCTGGTTTTTGGGTGCACAGAAGGTTCCATTCCTGTGAGTCAGTGATGACCCCAAACCGTAAGGCATGTGTAGTAGAGACCCTGGAATGCAGCAGGAATCCTGGGGAGCTTTCCCAATGCACAGATCCTGGCCCTGAAATTTGCAGTCAATGGGGCCAGAATGGACCTCTGGGATTTGATACTTGACTAGCTTTCTAAGTGACCCTGGCGTGTGGTTGTTTGGGCAAGCAGTCCTCTGGGGTTGTATAGGGCAGCTTCTCACCAGCTAGGTGGCCTGGAACAGTCTCCTCCCCTCTCTGAGCCTCATTTCTGTATCTGTACAATGGGGATAATCTTAATAACAACAAATGTGTACATGTGCAGGCATTTTGTGTATATATATATATATATGTCTTTCAATAACCCATGGGGTTGTGTAACTGTTATCCCTATTCTATAGATGAGAAAACTGAGGCTATCCATGCATCAAGCAGGTGAGAGTCAAAGCCAGATCTGTCTGTCCTCAGAAACAGCACTAGAAGCTACCGCATGGTGGAAGGCCTCAGTAATCTCCAGCCCTGAAGTGATCATTTGGCAGGGAGGGCAGTGCCTAGCGCAGTACCTAGCATGTAGTGATCATTTGACAGGGAGGGCAGTGCCTAGCGCAGTACCTAGCATGTAGTGATCATTTGGCAGGGAGGGCAGTGCCTAGCGCAGTACCTAGCATGTAGCAGGTGCACGGGGAAGGGGAGATCCTACACCTTTCCAGTAGTGGTGGAATGGCCACCTGGCAGGAATGCCAGGAAATAGAACAGTGCAATGGGTGGTGTGTTGAATGAGACTGTTTATTTATAATGTCCCTTCCAACTTGGAAGCATGAAGCTCCCAATGTTTGTTGATTCTCTGATTGTGTTTGTTATTATTGCTGAAAAAAATCCTAAAGCTGATTCCCCAGTCTGAGAATCTAGACACCAGGCCTGTCCAGCTGGAGGGCTGGGGCAGGAGCCATG